GAGTTTAGCAGCACTCTGGCGACTCATTTTTATTTATTTATTAATAGCTTCAATAGCTAAGATAATCCGAGCTTCTTTTGAAGTGTTATTCATTGTTGATTGTTGATTAAACGCGTGTTGAATTGAAGAGTTGCAAAATAGTGAAAAAGTGCGCGAGGCACTGATATGCGCGACGCACTGATAAACCACGTTATAAGATTTTCTAACATTATTTGATAATATTCACAAAAATAAAAGGAATTTCAGAAGAACAAAGATATCTTTCAAAAGTTTAGAATTTATTTTATTACAATTGAAAAGTTTTCATTCAAAATCACATTATAAATAATTTATTTTAATTAAAAAGTAAAAAATCTAAAGTTTTGATCTCTTTTATTTAAATCTATTATTATTAACTCAAAACATATTATATCAGAATTCAATTCAATATATAAGTTTCGATTTAATCAATTAATAATCTATAAGAAATTTATATAATTATATATGAAATTGAATTAGCAATAGCCATTTTGATTTTGTATATCCCTCTTCAAAGACCCGTCCGAGTAGCTCGCGAAGATTTCCTATATGACTAATCTGCGAATCATCTAGTGAATTCGGTAACGCTAATCAGGGGTAGAGATTCTAAGATTAATTTGATCAGCCCATGTTTTGAATTTTAATTGGCAGGAATTCTTTAGCTGATCTACAACTACTCAAGTATACTATTGTAGGCTATCGTTTGCAAGATTTTATCTAATTTCCCTATACCAAGAGTACAAGACAAAACAGCCCTGCTTACCATTACTGAATTCACCAGAAGTACAACGGTATTACTAGAAAACTAGAAAACAACTCGAGGACCCAGACCGGCTTAAAAGATGGATTTTTAAGATGTTCACATAGTGGAAGCATAGTATGGTATAGATTTTTTTCACTCCTAAACTAGTCTAACGACCTACCTGAACCTGATTTTATATTTGAGGCATTTACTCGAGTACTAGAGCAAGGAACTTTGGAGATAATCCAGGATGTGATTGTTGAAAAGCTGCGTGACGATGTGCATTAGATTATGAGTACCCTTGCTAAACTTCAATGCTCAATTCATAGTCCATAGTCCATAGTCCATAGTCCCTAGTCCATAGTCCATAGTTCATAGTCCATGGTCCCATAAATACTATTTTTCTTCGAACAATGAATGCACTGCTCTTGATTCCCAGCCTCACCATGGGGGATGGATGCCAGGCTCGCAAGCTCACCAGGAAGCTGGGAGACTGGCCTGATTAATGCCCTCAATTAGGGAGGGATACCATGGCGAGCCTAGGAGGGAGGGGGTAAATCTACCAGGTCTACTGACCTACCAAACTCTAAATCAGCAAAACACTAAGAACAAGTCGAAGGTGCATGGATTCATAAATACCTCACTACCTGTGAATATGAATACTATATATAATATGTACTGGAGGTGAGAACTTGATAATGAAGCGTCTGAATAGTACATAATGTGGGTCTGGAGATAAGACTACCTACTCATGTCCTAGCACAAAGATGTCATGAAGATCCTCAACTTGTTGGTCTTTCAATACTGATTGGTCCTTGGGTCCTTGGGTCCTTGCGTCCTTGCGTCCTTGGGTCCTTGCGTCACAAATAGTATAGTGCCAAGTAAGTTAGCTGGAAAAATCCTTGGTTTTAACAAGACAATTCAGAATGGGAAGTGCATAAATACTTCTCTCCCCCACCCATTTCCCTTCTTGAAATATCTCATACTCAAACTTCAAACATTCATACTGATAACATCTACACTTTTAACATTCAAACTTAAACATCCATACTTTGAACATTCATACTTTGAACATCTATACTTCAAACATTCATACAATCACAAACAGATATCCTTATTCAAAATCAAGATATCAAAAACATGTCTTCTTCAAGAAATACCCGTGAGCAAAACGTCAAGCTCACTCAAGACGTCCACTCCCAGAACGGGATTAAGATGAAGCAAGAAGACGACAAGGCCAACATTTCTCTCTCTACTTCTGTCCATTCTCAGAACGGGGTTAAGAAAGAAGAAGACAACAAGGCCAACAAGGCCAACATTAAGAAAGAAGAAGACGACAAGGCCAACATTTCTCTCTCTACTCCTGTCCACTATCAGAACGGGGTTAAGAAAGAAGAAGACAACAAGGCCAACAAGGCCAACATTAAGAAAGCAGAAGACGACAAGGCCAACATTTCTCTCTCATCAACCCCCGAGTCCTCCGGACCATTCTCTACTCCCGAGCAGCCATCGAGCTCCTCTGGCTCCCCATCCGCATCGATCTCTCCCGCCATCGAAGCCCAATCTATCAAACGCAACTTACACCCTACACCACCCCGAACCAACGCCAAGGTGGTTGACACAGCCAGCCAAACCGACGAAGTCCGAGCCGCAGCACGACCTGCACCAGCCAAAACCAACACCAAGATGGGGAACAAAGCCTGCCAAACCAACAAAGTCACCAAGCGATCCTCAGCAGCAGCAGCTCCAAACCCTATGTACCCCCCGGGGGGGGGGGAACTCGAAACCGCGGAGGATGTTCGCAGACGCGTGTGGTTTGCCGGCACACTCGGCTTGAAGTACAACAGCAAAGGAATGCTGTAAGTTCCGCAACCCCCACCCATCCCAATGAATCCTTTTCTAACATGCCCATCATACAGAGTCAGCAAAGATTCGCACTCCGAGGGATCGAAGAAGAAATAGACTGTCAAGCTTCGAGCATAGGATACAGCAGAAGGAGGAACGTGATGGCGGGCTTTTCTTTAGGAAAATGAAAACTTTGGAAATGAGCATGGAGGTGTAGAAGGAGATGGAGGAAATCAGAGGAAACTGGGAGCGTGCGATTTATATAGAAACATAAAAAAAAACAGTCCATTTGGCACCAAAAACACTTTCCACACTTGCGGTACTTTGTCATCATAATGATGAAGCATTTCGACAGTTAAAAAATACCCAACAGAGCCATGAATTCCAAACCCAAATCCAATACCCCCAAATCCCCTTGTAGACTTGCAGCACCAGTATTTCGTGATCATAATGATGAAGTAACTTAAACTTATCAGTCAACTACCCAACAAATCGAATAAAATCATGAAGCCCAAGCCCAAACCCAACACCTCCAACTCCCCTTATAGACTTGCAGCACCGATATTTCGTAATCATACCTAACAGTGAAGTATTTTAAGCTTGTCAGTCAACTAACTACCTACCTACCTAATGAAACCATAAAGCTTAAGCCCATCTAAATCTAAATCCAATACCTCCACCTGCATCTCCCCTTATAGTAGACCTGCAGTACCTATACCTTCCTCTCAATCCTCCTCTCAGTCCTCCTCTCCATCCCCCTCTCAATCTTCCCCCCAACCTTCAATCATTCTGCGCAACAGATTATTGATCTAGTGGAAAACCCATGTATTATGTTACCGCCAGCGGAGCGGGTTATTGAGCTGGTAGGAGGTAACGTTAACCCACGAATTACCCGTCAGCGGAGCGGGCTATCAATGAAAAAATTTGAACGGGTAATCCGTGGGTTATTTGTGATATAACCTATCACACAACACAACCCACCAACCCGCAAATAACCCTAACCCAGGGGTTATCTCATTTTCAGACCCTTTCTAGTAGATTCAATGTTCTATAAAATTTGGCATCGTATTCCTTGATGCTCCCGCCCTAACCTTAACCCACATGCCTCTGATTGAATAGTTCTATAGATTTTACGCTTATGCAATCACCGAGTGGTTCGGAGGATAAGAGATACCCCCACGGGGCGGGTTGGTTTCTCAATCTAATATTATAATCATAATCATAATCATATACTTTTAAATTTAAATATTCATACATATTCATATTTATATCCATATACACATCCATATACACACTAGCAACATTGCATTATTGATATCCTACAAACGAGTATACTCGAGTAGTATAGTACAAATATTGATATTGATGATACATGAAGAAGTTGATGTAATGGTATAATGTATTCGAGGAGGTAGATAATTTTATGGGGCTGTCAGTATTACGAGTTATATCAACAACAGTATATAATTACCGATGATAACTATCTAATACCTAGATACTCACTCAATAATCACTTCAATCAATACTCTTCACAAATTCCCCAAGCATTCTTAATACCATTCCATTCCATTCCATTCCATTCCATTCCATTCCATTCCATTCCATTCCATTCCATTCCATTCTTAATACCATTCCTTTCATTTCCTTTCATTTCCTTTCCTTTTTTATCATTTCCATCCCATTCTCATCAAACTCAAACTCGAAACTCAAAACTCAAAGTAAAACAGAACCGTCATTTTATATTTTATATTTTGTATGCTCGCATTAATTTCTCTACTCCCTACTCTCCCCCCTCCTCTCAAAAACCACCAAAAAAAATCACAAACTCTTACCAAACCAGATTTTGATCATTTAATCTTATCTTATAGCTCCCATGTGAAGTGAAGTGTCTTTCATATAGGTTCTCCACCTTACTCGCTGATTACCTGCACGTATTTGCCATGCGCGGCCGCATTACCTGTTCCAATTCATTATCATGCTGTTGTCATGGATCCTCCAAGGCGAGCCGTTCCAATTCATTATCATGCTGTTGTCATGGATTCTCCAAAGCGAGGCGGACCAATCCCTACTCCCACGCCCAAAAACTCCGAAAGCCTCCATCCGAGTCCCAATTCATCCGCCCAAAAGGTCTAGAGCGTTCCCAAAATGGCTCATCGAACAGCTATTAGTACAAAGGCTGTCGTCCGTTCATTCATCCATCCATCCGTTACAGTACCAATATATATACAAGAAGATACTCATACACTCTCATCAACAGCAAAGATTAAACCATCATCCACCAGATACTACCAATAAGAGCTATTAACACCACCGTGGTAAGGAATCCCGCCCCAACCTTATCAGCTGTAGTAACCGGTTTCGTTCCCGTATAACTGCTTGAGCTCTTCCCAGACCCGGCACTCGGATCCCCTTGACTCGTTCCACCCGTAGAATTCGTGACTGGCCCTGCAACCTGCGCAATGAGGTTGCTTTGAATAACCTCTAATGCTGCCATTTGTTCTCCAACGCCATAAAATCCATCCCACTTTCCTGTTCTCCAATTAAGTCCACAGGTGCGTCCGTTATCACCTCCAACACATGATGAGGCGGCCCCCGCAGCTGAGGGGCGTAGATAGTTCATAACGGCATCGTAGGTAAAGGGGGCCATTTTCGTTGTGGCAGCTAGCCAACGAGCAAGATATGCCTTGAAAGACTGTTGATCGATATCGCATTTTCCGTTATTCTCGCAGGCCACTTCCATCATGACATTATTCTGGAAGAATACATGGGTGCCATTCAGTAAACCTTCGACACGTCCACGCCAAAGTTCGCTTCCGTTGGTATAGTTATACATATTTGCAGCGCCAAGAAGGAATGCTCCGGCATTATAAGTCCACTGAATATGGTTGAGCTTAGTACAATTGAGTGTGTCATCAGAACCATCGTAAACATAGTAGTGTTCATCCAAGAGTCCCACGTTCTCCATCCATTCCCACGTTTTATCTGCCCACTGTGCATAAGTATCGTTTCCGGTGTACTTAGCAAGTCGTGCACCCAAGTTGAAAAAGCAGCCATTTGAAATTGAGTTTTTGTAGTTGTAACCGTTATTGAAGGTAAAGATTTGCCATCGTAGACCCCCACCACATGTGCTATCATCCCACCGAGGGGCTTGAGTGTTGAAAACCGCCTGCGCGAGAGCGAGCCATTGAGGTTTATTAGGGGGAGGGTTTGGAAAATTCACTTCAGCGGCAGACATGGCTGCCAATCCCCAGAATCCTTGGTCGTCATTTCCCTCTGTTTTGGTTTGATTCGGAGTCATATAATCGTTGTCGGGTCCCGTTTGAAAAAGCATAGCTTGAGTGGTAACATCGTTGTATGTCGAATCGCCCGTATAATACCAATAATCGATCAGCGAGCCGAACATTGCTCCGGCTTCCCACCAATAATATGGCGCGGGTAAATTTCCCGGTATGCCGCCCGTCTTGTTTCCTGTGTAATAGCTCATCATGTCGTAAGCGATCGAACTCGCCGCGGTCTTAATAGAGGCTAAATTTACAGTCAGTAAAGCAGCTATAGCAGGCATGAAGCGCGGATACATACCGGGAGATGTAAGATCGACTTCTATCGCATTACCTACATGACTTACAGCTATTATGGCTGTAGTCAAAGCTGATAGTGACCTCGAGCACTTCATGATTCAGAATGTGATATTTATGGGTACAATCTTGTGTAATAGATATTAATAGGTGGTGAGGCTGAAAATGCGCCGAGGTTGATGACGTCGAGACACCAAGAAGTAGTGATTTTGATGGAATGGAATATTCAGAAACAAAACCAAAAGCAATTGACTGGAACCTCCAACTGAATGATATCCTGGCGACCCTTCAAATGCGATGGGAGAAACGAGTGAATCGGTCCACTTGCTCTATTTTCAGAGAACCAAGACCAAGATCAACAAATGAACGATTGAAATGATTTCCGAGGCGAAGAGTCCAAAAACTTAAGCCAACGAGCGATTGAGATTGAATTGAGGTAAAGCAACAGCCACCACCATATTAAGATGGGTATTAGGAAATAATGTTGTTTTTTGTTGTGATTTTCTGAAGCTGAAGCTGAAGTTGAGGTTATAGATAAAGAATATGAAGGGAGGTACTCGAGTAGTAATTGAAATAAGGTATTTGGAGGTAAAGGTTAGTTAGTTGTAAAGGGTAGTGACGTGACGACTCTTGGAATTCTCTCGTATTAATGAGGATGTGGAGTCAAAAAGGTTAGATGATTTCGTGGGGAATGAAGTCTTATAATATAAGTAAGGATATGAGTAGGCGAAGTACTTAGTAAGTAGTCATGGAAATCAACTTCAAGAATGTAAAATCAATAGAGCTAAGCAGAATTGGGTACAGTAGAGGTAGTAGTAGTAGTAGTAGTAGTAGTAGTAGTAGTAGCGGTAGTAGTAAACTTACTTGCGCAGTAACTTGAGAGTGAAATATTAGGTAGGTAGTTAGTGAAATATGAACTTGGGAAGAAAGGACTCTTTCATCAAAGAAAATAAGAGAGAGAGAGAGAGTTTGTGTGTGGTGTGTGTACTCGTATACCGGTAAAAGTGTGTATAATAATAAAAGTGATGAAAGAAAAGTAAATGAAATGATTCCAAGCCTCGTATTCTTAATAATCCTTGATGAAATAGTATTTACGAATGCATACAGTAACCCATTTCAGTCAGTTTCAATGACCACAGGAAACCAATCTTGGCCAGACCCATCACCCATCATGACTTTGCATATGTATATTTTTGGTGGGTTGAGGTTCGTGATCTGGCCGACAGATTAACTTGGGCCATGTACTTCTTTACTCCAAAAGGAAGGTCAAATTAAAGTTTGATTTGGTTTCGCTTTTTCCCCCAGGAGGGATTGGTGGAGAAGTGGATACCTAGGTAGGTGGAGGGATAGACAAATCTCGGTCATGTGATTGATATCTGAGTAATTATAAGAGAAGACCATGTTGATCAACAATACAATATTAAAAAATAGTAGCTGTCAGTTGAAGGGGATGGACAGTAGAACAATAGAATAGCACGTTATTCATTCACATCAACATCAACAATGACCATCTCCATCTTTGCGGCACAAGTACTAATCAAGACCTGAAGAAGATCCGGAATCTTGGAAGATATATAAATAAATCCTACGAGATCTCCGATTTCATCTGTGTAGATGTATCCGGGTCCTTCATCCTTCATGAACACTTGACCAGTGCCTTGCCATTATTCTTCAAAATCCTCGGCGCCAATACTGAGATAAGAACTTCAGCCTCTTCTCTCATAAGTATGAGTATCTTCAAATAGAAATGGAACCAATTTCCTTCTTTCCCATCATATAGTATTTGGCAATTTGGCTCTGATCACATAATAACCTTATTATTGTCGAAGGAATCTGCAAATATCTCATGCAAGCTAAGGCACATGGAATCGTCGTCTATCCTCATCATCGCGCGTATAAAAGATCTAAGCAAGGATTTAATTAAGGATAAGTCAAGGGTAAATGTGTGTTAAGTGGAGTAAGAACATACATTAGAAATAGATTCGATTGTTTTCATTGGTGGATATATTGGTCATTAATTATTGGAAATTAGTAAAACTGTTTCTGTCATTTCTATTTTTAATTATAGTAACTTTGGGATCCACACTCCAACAACAAGATTTCATCACCTTGTTTGTATCGTCAACCATAATCACCATGATTACTACTTTTAGTACTTATCAGCAATAGTACATATCTCCATTACATCTCCAGCCCTATATGTATATGTATAGATATGGATTACTTTTATCTTTACCGCTGCAATCTTTACCGCTGCAATCTCATACTTACATGCTGTTGATTTCCTCACCAGAGAGCCGGATCTCCTCAAGCTGATCTCAACCTCTTACTCTCCTTTTGATGAATCTTGCGCGCGTCTAAGAGCCTAGATCTTCTCCTGTCTTCCCCTCTCACTGTACCCCCTCTTTCCCTGCTGTTCTAGCCTTTTTCTCAGGCTAGAATATCGTTTCATATCTCACTAGCAGCTATTTCACTTTCTCAAACTTTATCGTTGCCATATTCTCAAGATGGCAATGACTTTTACTTCCGAGGTTACATTGGCAGGGCCATCTCCATTGTCTTTTAGGAAGACACGTGCGTGTAGGCAGAAGTCGAAGACAGGTTGTACCACTTGCAAGTGAGTAAGAGTGGCGAACAAGACATTCAGTTGATCCAATTGATCAACTGGATGTTTCATAGTATGAAATTTGTGGTTTCTTTCATCATCGTTAACTTTTGATGTTATAAGATGACCATCTAGTATGTTGCTGACATATTCTTTACTTGTAGGCTACGACGGGTCAAATGTGATGAGACCAAACCATCGTGTATGCGATGCAAAAACTTCGGAAGGAAGTGTGATGGCTATGAGTATAGCCCTAAGGTATGCATTTACATTACGTTCAATTCTGTCCATACTAACATGGACAATAGGATAAGCCGGCTTGGCTGATGGGCCCAACTATATCTACTGGAATATGTCAGGAAGTCATAGAACCGCCATTGGTTTCAATACCGCCCAGCGTTTCAGTGATAAACTTCCGCAGCGAGCAAGAGGGCCAATACTTTGATTTCTTCTGTCGAGAAACCGTATTTGAGCTCGCCGGAGGTTCTGAAAAGAAATTATTCAATGTCATCATCCTTCAGTCTTGTCACACCGATACGTCTATCAGGCATGCTGTTACCGCCATTGCTGCTTTGAGCAAAGCCATGAAGGTCTCAAAATCCATGCATCGAGACGAAGGCGAAGCTGGATTTCAGAGGATTTGTAAGTCTCAAATGATGCTTGATCATAACGCTGTGCTAATCACATCATACCACAGCCAATCAAGTGGAGATACACCATCGATATGCCCTAAAGCAGTATGGAAAGTCGCTTCGGTATCTTCGCGATCTCGTGCAGACAAGTCAAAATCCACTTCGCATACCTTTACTCGTTTCTCTCATCATCTTCTGCTTTGAAAACTTCCACGGTAACACTCAGTTGGCCGACAAACACATTTACAGTGCACTCAAGATGATGCACCATCATGAAGCGTTTTCAAGCTATCCTCATCACAACCTGTTACTAAGCTCACCTGCACCGGACTTGGTAGAAAATGAGATTGTTGCTGCGTATCTCCACCTTGCCTTGGCGATTGTGACACGACCAGATGATCCGGATTCATTGAGCGGCAAAGTTCTTGATCTCATATCCGCCGATATACTACCACCTGACATTCCTCGACAACTTGGCAGTCTCGCAGAAGCCGAAGTTCATCTGGAACATGTACTATACCATTCTCTCCCGAGCATACCAAGAGCAGACCTCGAAAAGCGCTTGGCATCACCGGATCTTTCACCTCAAGGTTTGGCAATCAGTCTCTCAAGACTTCAAAAGCTTTATCCAAAAGCATCATCTCCTATTCTTACGGGTTTTGAATTTCCTACGTTCAGTTCAAGTTTTCAGGATTGGCAGAGAGCATTTCAGCCAATTATTTCATATGCACAGTCTTCTTTAGGTAATGCAGATTATGTCGCTGCAACCACTCTTCAGATCAAAGCTCTTGGTATAGGGCTCATGGGTCAAGGTGTCTTCCTTGATTACCGAATATCCGATTATTTTCTTCCTACCTTCCGTCAAATCGTCTCTCTCAGTCAAAAACTTGTTTCCGATCCTCGATTTTTAAAGACATTTGTCTTTGATGCGGGGATTGTTCCTTCTCTTTTCGTTGTTATATATGCTTGTCCCGATCAAAGTATAAGGAGAGACGCGGTAATGGTTTTAAAGGAAGTAGCTCCTAGACGTGAGGGTACATGGGATGCTCTAAAGATTGCTAGCATTGGGCAAATGTTGCTCGACTCTGAAGAAATAGGTCCGATCACTGCGAAATCGACCTTTTCACCGTTCGACGATATCAATCTGATTTCGCCGACAACATATGAGGAAATTAAAACACCAATACTGCAGTCTCCACGGCCAAGACGAAGATCTCTTCTCGTTTCGCCACCTTTATGGAAACGAGGTACAGAGCGAGGGTTTGGTGCCGACATTTCATGAGAATGTCATTCTGAGCTCATCTGAATGTTTGGCATTCTTATCTTCGGGACCATCTCGAACATCACGAACTTCGACATCACGAACAACGAAATTCGCCGAGACATTGGATTTGAACATGATCGGCTGGTTTCTTCAAAGCCTCAATGATATATTTTGAATTCATATTTGTTTGGAAATTCTCCTTAAAACGGGCTGATTAAAAGATAAAAATGGCACACCTCAGAGGTACACTCACTCTCTGATCTAACAATACCCGCAGCATTCTCTAACTACTAACAGGTCCTATACTCTAAGTCCTGTTCACATTCCACGATGACAAAAATCACAGCGTGAACGTTGATACGCAGTACGACTCACCACCTAAACAATGCTGGTTCATTGGATCCTATTTCACCTGTCCCAATTATTCTCTTCATACTTCTTTCTCTATTTTTCCTTTTTTTATTTACTTTCAATGTCTCTCGATAAGCGATGGTAGTTATTTTCTTTCTATTTCTGAATTTCTTTATATTGATACCTTTTCATTTCTCATTTCTATTTGATACTATTTATATTTCATCGTTTTGCTATACTCTACTCTACTATAGTAGTCTCTTTTTAGCATTGCAATAAGACAAGAAAGGCTTGGGGCTAGTCGGTTTTTATGGCGTTCTGGGGAGAAGAAGGGGTTTGGTAAAAGTACTGGAAGGTTTGAGTTGGTTGATTGCTTTTTTTTATATCATGGTTATATAGGGTGAGGATTCAAAATGGGGATTGAAGAAAGAGGGTGTTTTATGGATCTACAGGCTTGATTTTCGAACGTTGTTACATTTGGTATTCTTGTTTCTTTTTTTTTTTTTTTTTGAAAATCTTTTTTTAATAAGTAGATGATTTTTATTACTCGTATTGAGACAGCGTTCAAACTCGAGCGACGATCGGGTCGTTGAATTGATATATACAAGTATTATAACTTATTTGTAAATAATCTTTAAGAAGAGAAGAGAGAGAGGGGTTTCAATATAGTATTTTCTTGGTTTTATTTTATATATACGAGTACCGGTATAGCAAATTACTCTTATATTATATTATTAAAAATGAATTGGATTACTTTTATATTATAATTAAGATTACTGAGTACAAAAATGATATCTGTTTTATTTTTGTTTTGTTTTGTTTAGGTTTTATTGCTAGTGGGGAATTTATATTTATGATTATAATGAGAGATATAGAGATATAGTGGGTGGGTGTTGGTAAAATATTTTTGGGAAGAGTGAAAGGGTGGAAGAGAAGGGTGGAATCTATAGTGGGAGGGGAGAGAGAGTAGATATAGTACGGGGGGAGGGGAGGTGGTGGGAGGGGTAGATATAATAAAGAGGAAAAAGACATGGTGGAACTTGATCAAAAAAAAACCAGATAGATATTCTATAGGAAGCCGAATATTACCGGCCTGCTCCCCTTCTTTTCTTATAAGTATAGTATAAAGACGAGCGAAAAAGAGATAAGTGGTTAGCTGATGAGTAATAGAAACCGCTTACCAACATCCATCCATGTCTTCAAAGTTCCAAGTGATTCTTGTTATAGGAATATACATAATCATCTCTCTACTCTATTCTGAGATGCCTCCCTCCCTCTTACTCACAATTTTCCACTGCAAGCACTTTTATACTTTTGCGACGCTAATGCCATCGAGCCTCGATTTTGAATTGGGCCTGCCTGTCTACTCTACTTTCAAGTGGATGGCGTTTACTCGGATATGTATCGAGAACTTTCACTTCTTCTCGTATACTCGTAGATATCTACACACTTTTAAATATCGGGTACGAGAAATGGAGACGATTCCAAGTTTACTTCACAGAAGAATCGTTGATACAATGTTAATATGCCTTACTTGACTTTATATACAAAGAGACAATTTAAAAGTACCCCCCTTCGCCCCAAAAAAAGAAAGTGTATATCAGAAGTTCTAACTTCTCAGAATCAACTTGGAATTTTAAGATCTTGTGTCTCGCTTCTCTTTTATTCTTTTTTATTCTTTTTTATTTCCTTCCCCCCAATCCAATCAATCCGCCTTCACCATTCCACCATTCAACCATATCCACTCCACTCCACTCCACTCCACTGCTTCCCGTCCTTCCCCCAATCCATCCACCGACCAATCAATTATATCTAAATTATCTACCACACCCTATCTATCTATCTATTATTTTCTTTCACATGACATCACAAGCACAACATATCTATCTACAAATCTCACACTGTAGCAGCATACCGCGGGGTATTATTTTCGAGTGCCACGGCTCAGGACGGGGCTTCTCAGTCTGGTAGAAGTCTCGAGATGCCCTTCTTACCACTGTGCCAACCTGCCCGAAAACTTGCGGGGGATATTTGGTTTTATATAGGATGCCAGTGGATGCCTAGGCGCCAGATGAGGGGGACGGAGATGGGGTGATATATGGGATCCACATATTGTGAGATTCACTAACGATATGATATGTATGATGCGATTCACTTGATACCACAGTCCTCATCAGACGATAGATAGTGGACGATATGATCTACCTCATTCGTCGACATCGACGAGATGGAACTCTTACCGGGCTTATCCCAATGGGACGTTCCATCCATCCATCCATCCATCGATGGAGTGAGTCTATCTACACGCCAAAAATATATAAAAAACTCGAAGATATAAACAATACTTTTTCTACTCGAGTATAACTAATACAAGATTTCACAATACTCGTACTCGTATAATAAAAATGATAAAAAATGATAAAAATTCAATACTGACTTCTCTCCAATCTACTAGTACATATAATCTACCAACCCATTACCATATGCTACAGTACATGCTGATACTACATACAACACTTGCTATCCCTATCCCTATCTCTATCCCTATCGGTATCCCTATCCCTACCCTTCTTTTTGCATGCCTTTGAGTAGATAAGCCTGAGTTCCTCTCCCTCTCCCTCTCTCTACCTTTATCTCTTCTCCCTCTAATTACCTCCTATTCCACACTTCCACACTTTCTCTTTCTATTCTATCTCCTATACACTCCTATATATAATATATTCATTCGATAACACCTCATTACCCCATTACACCATCGCCTCTTTTGTTACTAAAAAAAAAATTCATATATACTCGAGTATTAATAATAAAGATACTGTCCTTGTACTATATAAAGCTAAATTTTAATTTTAATTTTTATAGTATAGAGACACCATCCATTCATCGATCGATTAATGGGATATAGTATATCTATTCACCTATCTATAAATAAATAGAGTACTCTGGCAATATCAACCAAATAGACTGAACTGATATAGATAGAGAAAAAAAAGAAAAAAAAAGAAGTAAAAAAAGAAATGAGATATTTTAACAAAAAAAAAGCAGTATGCCAGTCAGTGTGCTGGGACTCGCTCGGGAGGGACGGAAACGAAATGCGAGGAGATGAATCTCAACTCATCTCAACTACTCGTAGATCTAATGGGGATATATGAATGATATATATATTCGTATTCGAATCGGTAACAATAACAATAACAATAACAATAAAATAAAATTAAATAAAATAAAATAAAATAAAATAAAATAAAATAAAATAAAATAAAATAAAATAAAATAAAATAAAATAAAATAAAATAAAATAAAATAATAAATCACATCATGTCATATCTAAAAATACTAAAAAAAATATATCAATAAACGCACAATCAAACAACTACAAAAAAACCCCCCAACAAAAAGACCCAAAGAAACAGATACTAGGATAAACATCAAAATCCCCCCCCCCTTTTCCCTCCCTCTCCAAAAAAGATAGCGAGAATAAAAAAGACTTCATAACCTCTTCCCAAAAACGGAGTTCTCCTTCTAAAAATGGGAGATACTGATTATTGACCATAGAACACAGAAAACAGAACACATAACACATAACACATAACACAGAATACAGAACAAACTAATATTCTCTCTCCCCTTCATTGACACATACCATACATCACATTACAGCTCACACCCCACCCCATCCCACCCCACCTCTATCTACACCACCGCACCACCGCACCCAACGTAAATTCCATGCATATCAACATATCAATCAAGACAAAGACCGCGAAGTCGAGCACCAGCCGATCAAAAGATGATGTTTATGATTGTAGCACTACCTAGTTTTTTCCCTCTCAACTATGCATACCCATTCCATCCACCCAATAACAACAACCAACCTGTTTGTTTAATCTAGTATCCCCACCCTACCCCCAAATCCATCCAGTACCATTTGAACGTCACCTTCGACTTCTCCTATATACAACGCATTCATCCATTGCTCTTTCTCATTTACTTCACCTAGCACCGACTTAATATTAAATTTCCCGCCTCCCTCTCTCCCTCCCTTCCTCATCGACTTTTCATCTTCGGGCGCAAGAGCACACGGAATTCAAACTACCTGTATGCATTTACTCAAAGGACTTGGGCTTCTGCCTTTAGTCACGTGGGATGCCTTCATATTCCGCGAATCCTAATGCAAGGTTCATGTTTTCTGTCATCATGTATTAGCATCCGGGCTCTTTGGTGTATAGTTGAATCACGAGGGGATATGGTCGAAAGAGAAAAAACTTACGCAAACACTGAGTCGCAGCCCCCTTCAACAAATTATCAATCGTCGCACAAACAACTACCCTCTTTCCGCTACTATGTACACCGAACCCACCAATCTCTACTCCATGCTTTCCACTAATGTTCTTAACACTCGGCGCCTCACCTGTAATCTTGACCAACTTCTCCCCAGCATATCGTTCTTGGTAAAGATTTCTAATATCTCTACTGGTCATTTTCTCCTTCAGAGGAATAGAAATCGTGTGGTGGATACCCTGGAACCAAACTGCTACGTGGGGAATGAATGCAACTTCGACACCTAATTGGTTGCTGATTTCGCGTTCGTGGATGTGGTCGGTAAGAGAGTAGGGAATGATATTACCCGTAAGGTTCTCAACATCGTTCTTTGGAGATGGTTTGGTACCGGCTCCAGAGTAACCTGATACACCGAAGATTGTTGGTTGACCTCCAAGGAAAGGTACCAATGGAGCTATTCCAAGTTGAGCAGCGGTAGCATAACAACCTGGATTGGAGATTCGAGTTGCTTTGGCGATATCGGATCTGTTGACTAACTCTGGGAGACCGTATGTCCACTTGCTATCAAAGCGGTAATCGGCAGAAAGATCAATAATGACACTGTTTTGAGGACCCTTGCCCTCGTTGACAGCATCAACAAAAGGTTTGCAAACACCGTTTGGTAGTGCCATAACCCAGCAGTCGATCTCACCATTTTCTTCCATTCTTCGAACATCTTCTGGAGAAAGGCTTTCATACGTGATATCTTTTTTCTCGTAGCCCTTCAACTTTTGACCCGCAAGTTCTCTTGATGAGACGTGTCTGAGATCCATGTTTGGATGAGCATTGAGGAGACTGATTAAAGCTTGTCCAGTATATCCTCTAGCACCAATCAAAGCTACCTTGGCGGTTTGAGTATTGGATGAGTTTTGCTTTCCAAAAGGAGGGTTGGGATTAGTTGTTGTAGCATATCCTCGTGACGAGTGAGTAAAAGGAGCAGCCCGGAAAGATTTGGCGGTAGGTCTACGTGCAGAAGTAGAGAAAGCTCGAGCTTGTTGTTTGATTCCACCCTGACCTGTCATGGCAGCACTCATTCCAGTAGCTGCTCTAGCCGCACGGTGAAGTCGTGCTTCTAAGTTGGCATCCCCAAGCATAGATCTACCGTGAGTGACAAATTCAGTCATGAGATCTTTGACTTCATTACCGTCGGTAATTCCGTACCAGAACATAACCTCTCCACCCTTAGACAAACTACCATCAGCTTTATCGAAGAACCAAGTCAGATTCTCATCATCCTCCTTGACAGTCCAAACCAACTTGGAGTGATCTTTCTTGATAGCAGCGAAAACATTATCGGCAACATTAGTCAACCATCCAGCCTTGGTAATAGTAAAAGTAGCTAAGTTGGAAAGAGAACTTGGTGACTTTGGAGGGAGAACAATTGCAAGAGCATCCATAGGCTCATCAAAATAAGCCTTGAATTCCTTGTTCTTGAGCCCATCAACATATCTGTCAACTGTAGCTCGCGCATCCAGCCCCTCACGGTCCCGAACAAGAACATCCTTTAATTTCTGGGTATCCTCGAATTCCGACATGGAGCTGGCGGTTGTCAATTTGTTTCCTCTTCGAATTAAGGTTCCTGCTCCGGTATCGGTGAACAATTCTTTTTGAAGATCCGCTGGGTGAATAATGGCAACGCTGGAAGATCTTGGGAGAAGATCAAGCAACTGTTTCGTCTCCTTGATCTTGAGTCTTGTACCATATCTGCACCACCATTGTGACATCAGAGAATCGTATTCCTCATCGAGGTTGATGGCCGAAATTTTCTCGTTGGTATCCGCATTGAAGAGTCCACCCTTTTCGGATAGGTAAACAATCTTCAATGGTTGCAATACCCTCGCAAGCTCTCCAGCAGCAACATCAGCATTGACATTCAAGACTTGACCCTCAGGAGTTTCGGCCATAGAAGTCAAAATTGGTAGACATCCCGCATTGATAGCAGCTTCAATTGGACCCTTGTTAACCTTATTGATCTTCCCAACCAAATTGTATTTCTCTTTATCCAAATAATCCGCACCGAAAACGCCAGATGTAATCGGTCTCGCTCTAACTCCCATCTCCTCTAACTTCTCCACCAACTTTAGATTCTCCTCTAAGAAAAGCTTTCGTGCAACTGCCAATGTCTTTCCATCTGTGACGCGAATACCCTCTTCGAATTGTGGCTCCACACCCGCATCTTCCAACAGCTTATTCAATTGTGGTCCGGCGCCATGAACCACGACGGGGAACAAACCCACATGGTTGAGGAAAGCGAGGGCAGATGTAAGAGATTCGAGATGTTCAGTGATGATCGCACCCCCGACCTTGATAACGGCGAACTGTTGCGAGGACACAGAGCTGAAATGTGAGAGATATTGTTGAACTTCGCGCTTGGAACCAATGTTACTGAGGAGTTGAACCACGGTCGAACGGGTTGAAAAACTATCTGTAGCGGGCGCAGAGTATTGTCGTCTAGATGATAGAGCTACAGCCGTGACAGCTTGTGGCAGAGTTCTCGCAGTCGAAGAGGAAGGGAATCTGCTGGTAGCAGAGTGTGCCCTCCTGGCTACAACAGCTACTCTAGATCGAAGTGCCAACATGATGGTGGGGGTAATCAATTCGGAGTGGAGAGATTATTCAAAGTAAATTTGTTGAGAAACTCAAACACTTTCTTCTTATAAGTCCTTCCGCAGATCCAATTCAATTGCTTAACCAACGTTTAATCCGAGAGTTATCTCATGCAAGGCGGGGAAGATTGAAGATGTTGGTTGAGAAGGGTGCTATGAACAGAAAATAACGCAAACTAGATGGATATAAATTTGTGAGCGACTCAGTTCCTTTAATTGCCTCAATTCCCTCTTAAAAGAAGAACCAATGAAAGAAAATCACAAGATGTATGAAAATTGAAGTTATATATTATTGACAATTTCAGTCAAATTTCAAGTAAATAATCCTAAGCTATCAAAAATGACAGTCATAATTCAAAAATGCTCTGATAATAAATTCAATTCAGCTTAATCAATCAGGGATCCGTTGACCTTGTGCCTTTGCAAAGATAATGTGGAGATGCGCCGATAAACCTCTCACGATTGGTTGAAATGGTTGAATTGTTCAGATTGTGTATGATGATTGGTTAGATATGAAATCTTGGCATAAAGAAATACCCCACATCGAGAGGGGTTTTATTCGATTTTATTAATTTATGTTGTCACACTTTTCTCGAGATCTAGAGGTGGGAAGGATGAATGGATGAATAGGCATTAAAGTCGCATTAAAGTCTATTAGATACAGCTAAGGTAGTTAAGATATTAGTGGTGTTAGATAAGAATATGAATTTTAGAAGATAGATCGATTAATGGGTAACTCGAGTAGATATTATAATATACAACCAATGACAAGGAGAATGATCCCAATGAGAGAAACTACTATTTACCAAATCACCTCTCCAATCTCATCTCATCTCATCTCATCTCCATCCACCAAACCCACCAACCACCCCTCCCTAGTCTCCCTAGTTCCCCCAGGGCCCAGACACCCAAACATCCATCAATCAACATCAGTAGGTAATCTTGTAATCTTATCAGATCCGCTCTGATCTCGGTCCATTGACAGCAATATGCAATGTTCAAGGAAGGGCTCACCTTCTCTAACGTAATCATCTCGTAACTCATACAGTAAGTATCGTTTTCAAGTTCTCTATTCTATTCCATATTAGATCTTGATCTTGCTGTATATATAATATCTTTATTACCTTTATTACCTGCTGCAACTACTCGAGTACACATGGCACATGGCACATTATTGCATTCCACTTATTATATACATACATACTGTATATCATTAATCATTGTGAATCTCAGTAAGTACTGTACCTACTATAACTACTGTAATACTTTAACTATCTCACAACCAAAAGAACCTATACCCAACACACCGATCAATAGTAGAAAGAAAGCATACCTAGCCTCAATATAAAACCTCAGTCAGTCAGTCAGTCAGTCAGTCAGTGAGTTAGTCTACTCAAGTATATCTATCGTAGTGCCGTATCGTCACCCAAGCCCAATACCCAGGTTCACCTACTCGAGTAATCGGAGAGTATTCACAGCTCATAGAATATTGAACCATTCATCATCATCATCATCATCATTCAAGCACACTTCAAATTCACATTCAGATTCACATCTAACCTCACATTTAACCTCACATATCACTATACTCCACAAGACTAAAATAAAAGTCATAATCTCTCCATTCTCCATTCAATTACCCATCATATCATCCACCAAATCCACCAAATCCATTCTACAAAAGATACAAATTCCCCAATCCGAGCTAGCTGAAGAACCATCAATCCATCCACCCCTTTTCGTAATCTATTTGAAGAAGAAATCCATCGACTCAAGAGTCAAATCAAATCAAGTAAGGTAAGATAAGATCATCATCAAAAAAAAAAGTTCGGATTAGAAGTTCATCAGATCAAACTTTATCAAAGTGACGCCTTCAAAGAGAACTCGAAGAACCGATCATGTAAAGTAAAAAAAAATCTCAAAAATGTCAACTCCTGAATCGCTAAAAACCCGTTCTTTCGTTGCCCTCCCTCCTAGCTTTGCGAGTTCTCACATGCTAAAGCCCGAGAGGATGTGGTGTCCAGCGTTTCGTTTCGTTCCATGAAATTACGTTCAACCGTTCATGTATCTTTTCTCTCGTAATCTCTGTACCCAAGTATCCCATCATTCACGTCCCTTTTCCTGTGCTTCGTTTGTAATTTACTTAATGCTTGGAAGCAACAACTGGGATCACATTAGTTGTAAAATCATAGACTCAGTTGAAGACACTTACCAGCTGGAACTACAATGATAACAATTAAAATGATGATGCCTGCAATCAAGCACATCCTCATCTTCATATCCTATAACCATATTATTAGCTCAACCGCCTTTGTTTGTTTGTTCCACCAGGGGCCGATATTTACCTTCCACCACATTTGTTTGCGGACTCTATTGGCACCACGACGGAAACCTTGTGCGGAAACTGCGAGGCTGTCGGTTTTATCTTGAAGAGAATCTAGATGGGCACCACGTTCTGAGACCTTATTGATGTTCTCGCGCATTACACCAACTGTATCATCAATAGTCTAGAAGAAAATAATGGTTAGTCAAGGCTCTGCTACAGAAATCAGATCATCTGCGAGTATCAAAAGTTGTCTATCGGGGTTAAGCCAGTTGGAGATTGAGGCCGTTTGGCCGGTTTGGCATTGTTCTCGGAAATCGTTGCACTTGGATCTAGTCACAGCCATGACGTCGCCGTCATTTTAAAATGAATATCGACAGACTACGAATGATGCCGAAAGTCGTCTTGGCGGCTGCTGAAACGCGCATGCGCTGCGAAACCAACATAATGTAATTCATCGAAAGCAACACAATCCACACCCCCTTCTAGCCCATTCGCATGTAGAAAATATATCGAAACCGTGGCCATCGCGCGCGATATCAATTCGATTGATTGTTGATTGCTGTCGTATAATCGGTCGCAAAAGCGTTATATGCATGATGATGACAGGATGACAAAACTCGCCATCAACTCCCAAGATTCAACTCCATCGATAGACAACTTCTTTACCCGTCGGAAGATTATATATAACTTACAGCTTGTAATGCCGCCGTCCTCTGGTTACCTCCTGCTTGTTGAGTACCTGCACCTGCAGTAGCAGCTCCTCCGCTCGGGATGTAGGGGTCATATTGAGGTTCTCGGTGCTCCGCCATTATGTTGTTGTTGTTGTTGTGATTGTTGGTATGAGTATTAATTTGTTCTTGAAGATTAAGTCGTTAAATTTGCTTTCGCTTTGAGTAATAGGTAGCTCAGCAAGAGTTTGTGTCGTGAATATTTAGGTTATTTGTTGTTCTGGAGACGAGGAAGATGTGATGGAATGGTTTGAATGGATGGATGTCTGGAAGTTCTGGAGCACGTTTGATGAGGGAGAGAAGCGAAACGATAGAAGGTCCAAACGTGATTGGTATCTGCCAAGGGGGCTTTTCACAGGTTGATTAGCTGCTTTCTTTGAACAAGTGAATCGATCGATATTAATAGCTCAAAAGGATTAAAATTCAATTGAGTATCTAATCAAAATAAAATGGAACAATGAAGTATACATATTCATTTATTCATTTATTCAAGTTCAAGGTGGAATACGGAATACGAATGAACGGCTTCATCGGAATCCGTTCTAATTCCAGTTACCTGCCAACTTCTCCTAACTGCCTACTAGGTGCCATCTAGCCATCTACTCTGCGCCTACTCTGCTGCGTATTGCCACGTGACACTCTATAAGATCGGGGCGGCTCTCAATGACAAAAAAGATGGCTGTGTCACAGTGGCGAAACATTAAAGATTTCATAAATTCATCAAAGAAATGTGATGTGCTGGTACTGGGGTTACCCGGTCGAAAATAGATGCATTACACGCCGTCTCTACGATTCTACTCGTACAACAATACCTTACCTTCCTTACCATACCTTACCTTGAACATCCCAATCCTAAAGAATAGCCAACCAGCACTCTAAAGCTAAATCATATATAAACCAGAAAATAAGAACAAAGAACAAGAACATTATACTAAATAAAGTATGTACTCGGTATATAATAAGCTACAAACTCCAAAGTACCTAATATCCCCATCAATTAATTAGCAACTATCTCAATGGCTCACAACTAGGTGTACTCGTATATCGAGAACGAATTCGATAGATTCTCCCCTATACCGTATTATATATATAATAATACCGGAGCTCCAAAAGTATCAGGTGAAAAAGATACACCTACCTACCTACCTACCTACATATCACTCACCACCATCTCAATCAAAAGCCAAGGGATGAAGTTGCGCACAGTAAAGTAATCGACTAACTACTCGAGTATTAACTGCACACACCCAACTGTCCGAGAAAGTCAAGTCAGCCAGACTTTCATTTATCACATAGAGAAGAGACAAATCGAGTCCGCTTGGTCTGAGACTTAGCGAGATTGTCGGTATCGTATCTACTGATTTTGTAGTTGTGGTGCTTGAATTTCGTGGGGAAGGAGTATATCTACTCATACTCGAGTACTGTAGCCGTTGGCAATATATGCTATAAGATTATGGTGAGCGATACTGGAATTATTGTCGATTTCTTCACTCTCACAACCTTATATCTTGCGTTTGCTTAGGATTTTGGACTGCAGACCGATAGTATGAGATTCTTAGATCTTGAAACCATTTGGAATACACAATTCGTTTGAAATGTTGAACTGTATTCAAACATCGAAAGCTCTCACATGTAAGTTACTAGCCTGGACCATTGGAGACCCTGCGTTTGCTTTGCTTTCATCATCCTCTCTTTGCTCATATATTGGACAATTCTCGAGAAGATACTAAATATAGTGATCTCGAATTTGCTATAAGACGTGTCATATTCATGCTATATAACGCTGTGGTATAAAGTACCCAATGCTATTCAAGAATATCAACATCTCCTTCCCCATCGCCACTGGCTCCGATATCCGAGGGGAAAAAAGCAGAAACCAAGCAACCCTACTTCCTCGGTCACGATATAATGCCTCGTTATCTAAGCTAGAACGTGAACTTCAAGATTATTGTACTTCGGTCCTTGAGAACATGTCTAGTGGACTCTTCACAGACACGATGTCGCCTGTAAAGATCTCGATGTATGGTTATGGAACGAGGGAGAACTCGACCTGCCCGTAACAGCGGATGTGGAAGACTGTGATGGTAACGGTAATGGTCGTGGTAATAGTACTGGCCCACGACGCATCTCTTCTGCCGATTTGGCTGTAAACGCCATTACCTGACCACCAAACTCGTAGACATCTGCACCAGTCTCATCGCGCCTATTTATTTCACATATGCTATCTTCCAAACATGTCATATGCACAGGGTATTCTAGAGACTGGTAGTCGCCGCCTGGCCAATTGTGATCACAGAATCCTTCCCATGACTCCTTATCAAAATCTACCTTCTGTGTTGCGTCCATCAATTCTCGCAACTGAAGAGCCATAGGAAGTTCGAACAGATACGAGATCTGGTCCAGTGACCCATGTATAAACAAACGCATGGAAGCCCAGGACCGCCCGGAGTACCGACTAGCAAGAGACAGTGCTGTAAATAGCTCTCTCTGGGGAATGCAACCCAACATGTCTGATGCAAAGTGTTTCGACAGAAGAATCTCAAATTTGAGATGCGCCTTTGCTAATTTTTGTGGTTCTCGCACGCGGCTGAAGTTGTACCAACTCTGTTCCCTTGTCATATAGTCGATACCTGTCGTTTTCGTTGAACTCCCATTTCGTGTTTTGGATCGTTTGAGTGCTACATGGGATCCCGAAAGGGTCTTGTGCTTGACTCTTTTGTTCCAGCGATCATCGATCTTCAAAATAAATGTGGTTTGTAAGGGAATATAATAGCCATACGGGAAATCGTTAACGATATCAGGTCTCTTCTTTGCCCATCCTTTTACTTCTTCTCGAAGGCCTTTCGTGGTGAGACGCAGAGCATGGAAAGCATTGATGGTCGATGGACTAATCTCTATTTCTGAATTCAAAGCCACAAGCTCGTCGAGAACCATCCATCGTAACTCGCGAGGAATCCTTAAGAAGGGTGATATCTTCTTGTTGATAAATTCCTTATGGCTGTGACGGTAACGATGATAACGTTTAGAAGTGCGTTTGTGTGGTAATATGAATCGTGAGTCAAATTGCGGGATTGGCTCATCTTCGATATCTTGACCAATGTCCTCAACCTCAAGAACTGAGAATCTGTATATTTAACTCAGCATCTGTAAGTCACCGGTGTCGTAAAGTCCAAGAAAACAGTTCTTATGAGTAGGATCAAGTGTGGAACATTACAGACATACCTATTAAAAAAGGTGAGAGGCTCCATCTCTTATACTTGTTCACTTCTTAGAACTTTTACCAATATAGTCAGCAATAGCGCAATGATCCACACTTCCTTAGGATTGAGGGCAGGCTTTAGCTACTTACTATTAAATCAACAATAAAACGAATGTTTGAGACTTTAGTACTACTAGTAAATAAGATATTGTATTTCCAATTGTGGTAGAATGTGGTAGAATGAATGAGAGATGCAAGTAACTCCACATTGGATGCTGTAATATTCTCTCAAGGAAAGAACCAACCAGCCGTTTTAAATATTTGAGGAAGGAATACGACAAGAATCAAGTGTCCAATTGTTCCAGGTATAGCTCTTATAAAAGGCTTAAGAGATATTCGAATGTTCATTTCTGTTTAGGATATCGAGAAGACTTAAAAGAGATTTGAATACTCAACATTTACTCAGAACATCTAAAATGGCTCAAAGTATTGCAAATTCGATCGCAGAATAACGTTCGCATTTGGGAGATGTGCTCCCGATGATAATATCAACCTTTCCTCTTGGTCAATGGTCCAGTGGTGACTTCACCTATCCAAGCCTCCAAGTCTAAACAAATAACATCCTGTCAACTCCTACCTAGTATCTTACCCATAATCATTATATCCAACCATTATAACACAGGTACACACACTTCCTCAATGAAATCCTCAGTACAGTATCACCCCAAATACCCTATCTAATCCCTAGCGTTCCAGCTATTTTAGCTAATTTAGCTTCCATAGCTTCCTTAGCTTCCCCAGTTTTTTGACCTAAAGACCCATCCACAACCAACTAGTAGCACTTTTCCGAATTATGTTGCATTTCGCACCACCCCTGCATTTCCATTATAATAGTGAACTACTCAGTATTGATTAGTCTTTTCATTAGAACTTAGCATCTACCTGGGGGGTTAAACTACTATATGAAACGATTTTTTCTACCCCTCTTTTAAGTCTAATAATAAGCGATATTTCTTAAATCGGTAGATCAACCTTTCTTACTGCTTCATCTCGTTAGATATTTTATTGGACATTGAAATGGACCTCACCTTATGCTGAGTAGAGATTGGGTATTATTTCACCCTCTATATAGGAATACAGAAATACTGCAATTCGCTTTATCACAAAAAAGTCAGTCAGTGGTTCATGATGCATAGATGATAGGGGTACTTGGTTGTTGGGAACTTTCCCGATAATTTGCTCTAAGTTCTTCTCTATCCACTACACCACACTTAGCCACGAACCTATACGAAACCAGAAAACGTTTTTGAGCACTCATGTCATATCCACACTATAAATGGGATGTTCTAGGATCTTCCTGTTTATTTTTTGGGGAATCGAGAATGAGGAAGGACATTCACGAAGTTCACACAATCACGCAAGAAGGCAAGCCATATTTGTGAAGTGATTATTATCATTTTGTAACTCATAAGCCATGCAAAGCGTTAAAAATCCCTGTTCCCATCCATCCATCCATCCATCCATCCATCATCCATCACCATCATATGCGAACTAAAAGAAAACCCCAGCGTGAACGACAATCAAGTGAAGAAAGAAGAGCCCCAATGTACGCGGGTGTGCCCAATCCTCGGGTATCGTAAGGTCATGCCGCGTTAAGCAGAGTGTTGTTGTACAATGTACTAGTCGTTTAATGGTAGGTCTTGTTTCCTCCCAAGGTCTTAGAACCATCAAGGTCAGCGTCAACTCTAGGGTCAGCCCTGTGATAGATTGTTAGCTTATGCTGAAGAAAGAGTATGAGATGGGAAGGAGCTTACTTGTTCAACAAATCGCTGTTGTGGGGACCTGCAGTGTTCTGAGCAGTTCCTGAGCCGGGGGTGGCGTGGGTACCAGAAACTGGGAATGCATAGTGTCCGGTGGAAGCTCCGTGATGGTTTCCAGTGTTGCTCAAGTCGCTATCGACTCTTGGGTCGGCGGCGTTGGCAATGTTGGAGTTGTGAGGGCCGGCATTGGTGCTTTGGGAAATTCCTCCGCCAAAACCAGTTCCGCCAGTGGTTGTGCCTTGGTGATGTTGGGTACCGGTTGTGCCAGTGGCACCAGTGCCGTATGCGTCTTGAGTACCGTAACCGGCGGAAGTCTTGTTAGGAAGGCGGTTGCCATCGAGGTCTGAGTCGACTCGTGGGTCGGCAGCGTTTAATACAGAGGATCTGTGAGGTCCGTGAGAGCCCTCGGTGTGTCCTTGAGTTTGATGGCCGGTTGTACCTGGGATGTGGGTGCCGGTTGTTCCAGTATGAGTTGTACCCGTGTGAGAAGTTCCTGGAATATGTGTACCAGTTGTTCCTGTGTGAGAAGTGCCTGGAATGTGTGTACCAGTGCCAGTAGTTCCCGGTTGGGAAGTTCCTGGGATGTGTGTACCCGTACCAGTGGTTCCCGTGTGAGAAGTTCCTGGAACGTGTGTACCCGTACCGGTTGTTCCAGTGTGAGAAGTTCCCGGAACGTGTGTACCAGTACCAGTACCAGTTGTTCCGGTGTGAGTTGTGGTGGTATCGGACTTCTGGCCTCCAATATGGAGAGCGTCCTTGACCTTTTGGATGGTGGATTCTCCGTCTTTAGTCATTTTGAATTTGGTATTGATGAAAGAGTTGAAGTATGTGTTTGAAGTAAAGAAGTTGTGATTTGGATTAAAGTTTTGATCTTGAGTAGATTGTATGTCTGTTTGTTGATGATGGAAAGAAGGAAAGAAGGAGAATTTAGGAGGTAGAAGGCGTCTCTTAAATAAAGAAATCTCAAGACCTCAAATGCTTCAGAACCCCGCCGTGATGGTGAATGAAGAGGTAATGAAAACCTGTTTGTGACGTCATATAACCATATTCAGCAATAAGAAAGTTTCAATCAAAGAATTCACTTCCCCGTTTGAAAGGAAATGGGGAATTGTGATACCATACTGCCGTCATAACAAGGAATATTGAATCAAAGCATGCAAGCAAGCACATGCATATGCACCAGTTCCTGATTTCCTTACCCCAGAGACCCTCATTATTAGACAGGTTTCTTGTAAGGCCAAGTGAAATTGATTAGTTCTTGCAAATCATAACCTATCAACTATCTTAATTAGCTGATTGGCTCATGCAATGCTGTCAAAAAATAGAGTAGCCGCCAAAAATGGCTTAGATGAAATTAGCCTTGGTTAGATGTATCCTGACATGCCCACTAATGTCACCAATGCCACCATCCCACCGAAACTTCAAATCCCCAACTAATTTCAAAAGTCGCCTACTAACCTAATTCCCCTTAATTGCCAACCTAATCTAGTGTCGTCATAGTTGGTTGTGGCGAATGACTCTAACGATATTTGATACTGTGGCCATAAGGCCGGCCAATCATCTATCTACTACTGGTGTGCAGATCTATCGATCGCAAACAAAGGCTGAAAACCTGTTTCTGTGGCTGTGCATCTTTCGAAATATGCTTATGCTCATCTCCAACTCAATGCCGAATTCTGTATTGAGTATTGAGTATTGAGTAACCAACCGTATATCAAAAGCATGACGTCTCTACGAAAGGAATAGCAAGGCACAACAGAGAACATGGTATCATTTTCAGCAATTTGATGTTGCAAACTGGTATGTAGGAAGCGCAGTCTGCGATGTTGTGTGATGCCGGCATGGTCTCGTAGTCTTATAAGTACTCTTCAGTGCGACTCCTCCATTTGATGTCAAAACTACCTGGTGGTAGGATAAGAAGAACTGTTTCGATAAAAGTATTTTTCTCTCTATAATCACGTGATATTGAGTTTCGCTGTCACGCTCCAAGTGGTTTGATCCTTCGGAAAGAATGAAAAGGATCAAAGATTGTTTCTGTTGGGTTCCTCTAGAGTATATCCTAAAGCTATGCATTCAACTCGATATTTTCACTCTTTTCCCTCGAGTTGCTCGAATTTGCAGTATAAAACCCTCCCAACCAAGAGCAGTCTTGTTCATTGAATGGGAGAATCACTCACAGTAGTCTCTCCAATTTCGACACCCTCATCAGGGGTCTTTCTTGTTGATTGCTACTACCGGTACTATATTTAGCTCCTCTTCCCTTCAGTGATCTTTAACATGAGAAAAGCCTTCAAAGTTTTAACTTTCACTCAACATATGAAACACGAGTTCTCCATAGGCTAGTGTATTATTTGTAACGATCCATCTGATTTTACTGGCCAGCCGCCATCTACATATCTCATTGAGTTTTCATTATGCTTCTATATATAAATCGAATCTTGTCATTCTTGAAGCTTGTCCCAACGAGGATGTCTTCCCGAATGATCCGATATAGATACTTGTCCAAGCACTCATATGCAACTTTTCTCGACCATTATTTGAGGGACCCTATCGATTCGTACTTGGGATGATAGTTAGATTGATCAATGAAGTCTGAAAGTCTAAGTTAACCTGTATTTTCACGAAATCTTCCGCATTGGGCGACAGCATCGCCTAGCTGATGCTTAGATTAAGGTATAATCTGGAGATATCCGGACTTTGATTGTCAAGACTTTCCCAAATGCCAATTTTTTGGTAAGATATCACAAGCAAGTTACTTCAGTTGACTGATATTGCTCTGTACGCTCGGACATCACCATGTACTGCAGATTCAAACCTTAATCCGATAACCTCTCTCGAAGTTTGTTTGACAATGTTAGTGTGAGCACTGCATATTGCGCTCAGACCTCCGCAACGTTAATCGTCTCAGCTATATACTTCTCAGCTATATTCGTCTCTTGACTCTCTTAAATTTCATGAATTGGCAAATATCACACAAAGCTTCTTACAGCAGGACAGCCCTATGGATTTTCTTGGACCATCTAGGCGTTTCATGAAAGGCTTGGTAGGTATAGCAGTCAAGCCTTACGTCTTGGTACAAACTACCTAACTTATCAGCAAAGATTACACCTCTGATTGCAATTCAATATCCATACTCATCGACGTTTGCAAACCGATCTTTTCTTGATATTCTCTCCTGTTCTGTATCTATCATGGCTACTTGACCGCCCAACCTGATTTGGCATCTCCATTACTACAAACGAATATTTACTTTACCAATTTCCTATCCTGATAACTTGCTTTCCTCATGAGCACCGTTAAAGATGTTTCTATCGGTAGGTATCTCAAGCACCATCCATCTGTACATTACACTAAATGGCTCTAGCTCCCAGGATACTCCTGATATGCTGGCCTCTATATGGAATCTCAGCAATATTGATAATGCTGAGATTGATAGCTAAAAGGAAGATTCATCTCAAATTCGCTCTGGAAGATCATTTGGTTATACTTGCTATGGTATGTGTCGTGTCCCATTGCTTTGTTTTAGCCATCCGCTAACATAGCAATAAAGCTGTTTGGGATATGCCATATGTCACTCAATACCTGGGGGATAACCTTTGGACTAGGAAGGCATTATGTATTTTTGACTGACTCACAAGCCACCATGGCTATGAGAGCTGAGTTCATCGGGGAACCTTTCGGTATGTGTCTCATGTACTCGAGTATATGGACTTGCGCTTTATTACTAATTCATCCGCAGGCATTATATCACCAACACTCGGCCGGATATCCTTCGCTGTTTACCTTCTACGACTGCTCGGACATTGCCAAAAAATAAGACGATTTATCTATTTCCTCATCGTCCAAAATTCCATCATAAGTTTCCTGACACTCATATTGATATTTTTTGAGTGTTCAAACATCACTTACAATTGGAATCTTTTTGGCCATGAAGATCAATGTTGGAATGTGAGGACTCAAGCAGCGATTGGGTATTTTCAAGGATCATCCAATTCCTTGACAGATCTCGCTCTCACAATTTTACCCATTACAATGATCGTGAATCTTCACATCCAGTTACATTTGAAGTTTCTCCTATCATTTTTACTAGGAGTGAGCCTTTTGTAAGTTCCTTCCCGATGAGACCTTGAAGCTTAGCTGAGATACATTAGTGCTTTTGCCGCATCCGTCATCAGAACCTACTGCACAATGGATAGTAATGATGACATCACCTGTAAGTCAAAAAGGCTCGCACATACTTAAATTCATCGGTCTAATTGATATGACTAGTTAATACAGTGACTTATATTGTATGGTGCGCAGTGGAAAACTGCACCGTCATTATAACATCATCAATCCCGTTCCTCCGGCCTCTTTTCCGACCAGGCCCCAAGCCTTACATCGGAGTAGAACATCATGCAGGCCCAGCAATTGTACATCACAGCACGATCGAATACAGAAGTTCGAGAGATATATTTGCCAGATCTGAAACTACACAGGAAGAAACGGATCACAAGGCACACAGGGGATATATTCAAATTCGAGGCCCATTCGCTAGTCTAGACTGAAAAGTAATTTGTAACGGATACAGGGTAATTTGTCGGGATGTGTATGATTCGGATGGTCTAATGATTTACGACTCTTTTCAGCGTTGCGTCGAGTTCATAGCGTTTGAGGTAAAGTCATTTCTTGTCTTTTCAGTGAAGTAGATTCTTCAACACACTGTAAGCAGAGTATTTGATGAAACTTTTTTAATCTAGGCTAATCATATAATCGATTACCTAAATTACTCCATTTTACAGAAATCTAAGAACTTGCTTTTCCCATTGGCTTGCTGCGCATAACTATTATGATTTCTTCTTTAAGGAAAGATCAACTTTGGGGTTTTTTCTCCCTAATGTGGATTCCCGCTGGGAAATAATAACGAATACAAGTCTCGGTCACCTGCAGATATGCGATGGAGAGCAAACGAAATGATATGATAGAACAAAGCAAACAAGTCATGGTTCGTCAAGGATAATTCCCATATAATGCTTAATCCTCCTGCTATTGATCTAAATTGGAATAGAGCATCTAACTCTATGGTCCAGTATGTCTCAGCAAGGAAACAATGGTAGGGGGTATGGAGAGATGCCCGAGTCTATTCGGATCATATTGGGACCCAACTCGGGATTTCAGTGGAATTCCCAGCGCACCATGGCAGCCAATATTGCCAATCTAATGTATGGAGAAGACGACATTGATGATGAAAGCAGCCCCTTTACTTCAGACGATCAGACTGTGAAATCAGCAACAGGCTTGAGATTATCAGACCTACTACCTCGGGGGACTCCAGCCAAGAATATGGTAGAGGTCGTGGAGAAAATAAGTATGTTGGACATCGATTTATCTCTCAGCCCTCTAAAGGTCCTACAACTACAAGTCCATAATGTATTCTTCAAGGGTCTGGAAGCCGCTTCTCATCTTTGCTCGAGAATCCAAAGCGCGGCGATACACAACAGCCACCACGTTGATTTAGACCTATGGTATCAGAGGCACCCCCCATTGGACATTGAATGGAGATCTTGCAAACTTGCTTCGACAACAGTTCTTCTTCTCGCTACTCCTAAAGAGAAGCTCTTTCCGGCTCTTCAATTCAATTCTCAGAGTTGCGGTGGTCTGCCATCACTCGACGAGATCCGGAGCACTCCCACGTCTTCCTTCGCCTCCGAATTTTCCAAGGCCAAACAAGCGGCTCAAGGTTCATCACAGCGCACCACTGTCATATGCGTCTCTTTGGTAGATGTGCACATATTTGAGCTTGCCAAGGTAGGCAGGGATGAAGGCTACTCGTCTTTTGCCCATTCTTTCGTCGTCGGCATCGGACCAGATGGCATGGTTATCTGGCAAGCCTGGGGAGAACATGGATACCGGCTTGACGAGTACTTGGCACGCAATGGTGATAGGATTCGATCATGGTCGGAGGCAGACGCATTTGTGAAGGACTTTGAATCATTAGTCGGTAAGAACGTATGTGTATCTTTCATTCTTAGATCCCTAGTGAAAGAACCATCTCTTGAGGAAAAGAAACTGACAGGTAAATAGCGTGGTCCCTGGAATTTCAAAAGAAACAAACTGTACAAGCGATGTTTCGAGGTCGATATTCAAAAGATTTGTGGTGGTAAAGGACAACAGGGACCTATTGTACCGAAAATCGAGAACTGGGTGAGGTTATTTGTTATCGAAGATATAAAGGTGGATGATATGAGGAAATTTGAATTCTTTTGAGGCATAGTGGGTTCAACGATGATCGCCAGGTTGCAAATGGGACAAGTTGAGCGAGGAATACAGCTCGGGAGAATGTTTTTGAGGTGCAACCAAAGATGATAAACCGTACGACCACCGATCAATATTATATCATATTTCTGAATCTGTGTGAGAAAGAATCATGTGAGACTCATGACAACTTGTAGCTGCTAAATCGCCCATGTGCCTCTAGTCGACAGCGCGGGATGAGTGGTACACCAGCTTTGGCGGTGATAGTACCCAGAACTGGATATCCCATTGCACCAGGTCCCCTGTGTTGAGGACCACACGACTTGCTAGTTAAGGTGGGAGATATGTCGTGATATGCTATTAGGGGATAGGGTTGCTCATAGCTCATATCTCATAGCTAGAAATGATAGAAAATATGAGGTATGTATAAAGGTATGTATATATATCCTTGTTGAGTCGGAAACCCCATTCTCTTGAATCGTTATATTCCTACCGTTTGAGCCTTCTACAGAGTAGTCTTCGCATCAATTCATTCAAAGTTCCGAATTTTTTGAAATAATGGTGGATGTGATGATGTTGGGCGTTGTTGAACTTAGCGTCTAACAAAGAATCCGGGGTAACCTTAGCTTTCTTTTAGTGCTGAATCCTGCGCCACCAAGTATATCAAATACCCACTAACCAACTCCACTCCAACTCCAACTCCAACTTCAATTGCAAGTTCCTCATACAAAACCGTTTCCCATAACGAGATATGAAAACACGGATATAGCTACAATGAGTTCCTCGCCATCGGCTATAGAGGGGTCTAGCACGTCACCTGTGAATAGAGACGGTCAGCGAGACAGAAGGTTTGGAAAGCATGGAACAAAACGAGGAGTATGTTGCTATAGGCATTTTGCAACAGAAATAGCTTAGAAACTAATCTTGTGTCGCATCGCAACAGAAACTACGTAACGGAACATTTGTACTGCCTAGTACAGGAGAACGAGTTCGCAGACAAATCACATTGCGAAGTCCTTCAGGCTTCGACGGAACGGCGCGATCATATGGATATGATGAAGGTCTGGGTTTGGGTTTAAATTTGAGGAGGGAAGACACAAACGCATTTCAAAAGGGATGGACCTATTGTGTTAAATCTTCCAAAGAATTTACACAATGGATACAATCTCCTACTGGGAAAGGAATTCTCAAATGCTCATTGGCATACACACTCGGAAGCTTGGCTACCTTCTCACCGCATTTGTCGAACTTTTTGGGGCATCAAGATGGGAAACATATGGTGGCTACGATCACGGTCTATTTTCATCCTGCTAGATCATCGGGATCTATGATTGAAGCGGCGATATTGGGTATCTCGGCATTTCTATATGCGGTCTTTATATCGGTGTCGAGCATGGCCGTGTCATATTACTGCGAAACGCAATTGGGTCTTATAGAGCTTGGCTATACCCTTATACTCATAGTATTCTGTGGAGGGGGTCTAGGGTTTATTGGTTGGTTCAAGCAGGCCTATAACGCTCCATTGGTCAGTGTTGCTTGTAGTCTGGCAAGTTTGGCAATCATTACGGTTATCACGAAGGAGAATGCGGTGCAAGTGGGTGTCTTCTCCAATGATAAGATTGTTCAAGTGATGAAAATGATTATCATGGGCATGACTTCAACGTCAATTGTCAGTTTGTTGGTAAGTTATTCGCCTACTCACAATTATTTACAGTGATTGTTGACTTATGGAAGGCGTGGCCAATATCCGCACGAGCAGAGCTTCGAGAAGGCATGATCAAAACTACAGATTCTTTTGGAGATATGCTTACTATGATCACTCGAGGATTTCTTAGTGGTTCTGAAACTGATTTGCGCTCAACATCCTTTGACCAGGCGCAGAAGCAATATAAATCGATTTCTACTCAACTCACAAACAATCTGAAGGAGGCAAAGCTGGAACATTATATTTTAGGTACAGAAAACGAATATGCAATCGAAGCAAGGCTTGTTGGCTGTATGCAGACACTTGCCCAGTCCATTGGAGGTCTACGAAGTGCTGCTTTGACCCAATTTTCGTTACTACACGAACCCCCGATGAATAGTGCAACACCCACAGGCTCACATGGATTCTCATCGTCTCAATTAGATCCCTTTAGTCGACCTCTTAGTAGTAAATCGGATCGATTTGCGGTCCTTACAGCCATTGAGGAAGCATCGGAAGAAGGCAGTGATCTTGACGCCGTTTCGGAGAGACCCAAGTTTCTTACTCGACAAGGTACGGAGACCAGTCTATCAAGTATAGCTATGCCTACAGTTCGAACACCTTCGGAGATATTTGGAAGATTTATCCTTCATTTAGGCCCATCAATGAAGTCTCTGGCATATACTCTCTCACAGATACTAGAAGAACTGCCTTTCTCTGAAGGCCCTGACTACCGCATCACTATCAACGAACACTTTCGATCGAGTCTGACTGAAGCACTGTAAGGATATCTTATTGTTGTGATTTGATATGAAGACTAATCAATCTTTGTAGAAAGCTCTACAGCAACGCAAGGGCTAAGGCACTCAAGGAACTTTATAAGTCAAAAGAGCTCGATAAAACGCGCCCGGAGAGCATTGAAGCCGATTTCGAAGAGGTAGCTTCAAGTTGCGGTCATTTTAGTTTCAACCTTCAAGATTTTGCAAGCGAGATGCAAAACTATTTGGCAATCCTAGAAGACCTGAAGGAAGAAGTAGAACGTCCCAAAAATCGTTCATGGAGATGGTTGATGTTTTGGCGAAGGTCTAAACGAGGGGACGCCATCAATAATGAAGAGCAAGAACAGCTTATTGCGACTGATATAGGCTCTGAAATGCCTAAAAATATTCCTGATCCTTTACGTACCAGACTTGGATATAGAAAGGTGGAAATTGCTGCTAAGATCAATGCAGGATCTAAGGGAGGGGTTATAAGACGAAAAGCAATGCGTATAGTACGGTTTTTAGATCGCGACGACAGTGAGTATTACCAAAACATTTTTAACAAGTTCACTCACAAATTTTCTTAGTACGGTTTGCCGTGAAGGTTGGCCTTGGAGCAGCTCTTTATGCTCTTTTTGCTTTCATACCGGAAACAAGACCAACATATCAATATTATCGAGGTGAATGGGGACTATTGTCTTACATGTTGGTATGCAGTATGACAATAGGGGCATCCAATACAACGGGGTGGGCTCGTTTCATTGGTACTTTCATTGGCGCCGTAATTGCATGCGTCGTTTGGGTCATTTGTGCCGGCAATCCTTACGCATTAGCCTTCTGTGGATGGCTCGTCAGTTTGCCGTGTTTCTACATTATCATCGCGAAAGGCAATGGTCCCTTTGGTCGTTTCATCATGCTTACTTATAATCTCTCCTGTCTATATGCATATAGTTTGTCAGTCAAGGATTCCGACCATGACGATGATGAAGGTGGTACCAGGCCCATCATCACGGAAATCGCATTTCATAGAGTCGTTGCAGTTCTTGCAGGTTGTATCTGGGGGCTGATCATCACGAGGGTTGTATGGCCAATTTCTGCAAGACAGAAGTTTAAGGAAGGCTTATCACTTCTGTGGTTACGAATGGGTCTTGTCTGGAGGAGAGATCCTCTATCTACGATTGTAGAGGGTGAATCTGAACACGCGTATATGAATTTGAGAGAGGAATTCGAATTCCAAAGGTATATATTTGTACTCGACAAACTTCGAAGCTCGGCCGCAAGTGAGTTCGAACTTCGAGGTCCATTTCCATCCGCTACTTATGGGCGGATAGTCGAAGCTACGACTAAAATGCTTGATGCATTTCATGCTATGAATGTAGTCATTCAAAAGAACGCGGAAGCGAGTGAAGGTGAAGCTTTGTTATTGAAGTTCACAGAAGAGGAAAGAGCGCAACTTTGTGCCAGAATGAGCCATTTATTTCAAGGTTTGTCTTCTTCGAACCGTCGAAAGCCTGAAATGAATAGAACGCTAACGATAAATAGTCATGGCTTCCTCAATGAAACTCGAATATCCACTTTTGACAGACGGTCTTCCCAGCACGGCGCATGCTCGCGATCGCCTCTTGGCCAAAATCTTCCAATATAGGAAGAACATGTCCATTAGTAATCGTCGAAGTCATGAGGATGATGCACCAACACAATCTAATGATGAAAATGATGACAAATTACCGGAATCGCATGGTTTGGGACTACAAGAAAATGGGGCGCAAGGGAGTGAAGTGCAAAGGAGAGTGAGTCAGGGGGTTACGGTGAAAGATGAAGATTATGAAATCTTGTATGCTTTTATCTTGGTGACAGGACAGTTGGCCGAGGAAATTGAAAAGATGCAGAGAGAGCTAGAGATTCTGTTTGGGGTGTTGGATGAGGGCGTTCTGGAGTTGAGATAGGTTGCGGATGGGATAGGATGAGGCAATTTTCCCGGAGAATAAGTTGTGGTGTCAGATGAAAATTTGAGAATTCGAGAGGATCAGATGAGATCAGACAAAAGATGAGAAGATAAGCATTCAGTGGGAGACGGTGGAGAAACGAGGTTTTGCGTTGCGTAATGTGTTTGTGGTCGTGGTCTAGGTTGACCTAGTGTTAATAGTCTAGCGTGGAGTTAGGAGTTTGACGATCAAATTTCGAGGTGTTTTCGAGTCAATGGGTAGGTGGGGATGGATGGGATGGTTAGCTATGGAAGGGATGAAAAATGCATACTAGGTACACAGTTTGAGTTATGACACTCCCTCCGTTTAGGTACATAAATTGTAAATAGCTTAGCTTGAAAATATATATACATATACGAGTAGTATTCATTGAGTATCTAAAAGACCTTTTCAGCTTCTCATTTTATCATTCTTGGAAAGAAGAGGGGTCAGGAATCATAGTAAAAGTAGTCGGGTGGTGCTCCCGGTGAGCTCTCGGTGAGGTAAGGTTTAGGGTTCTCCAATGGGATTTGAGTGTTGTATTCATGTTGTATCCAGTAATCGGTATTAAGACTCTTGAGTTTGATGATATATCATATCCGCTGTGAAAGTCTCAGTACTTAACCCTCAATATCGTGTTCATGTTAAGAAAGAAAACATATTGATCATTCGTTATTCATAAGCCGTAAACAGGTAATGTCACTGGCATTGACGTTGACTAGTTACCCATCCATAGTTGGGTTATACTATGTAGTTTAGATTCATGTGGACGCCCGCCTGTCACCGACCATTTTTATTACAATGCGCGCCCGCCTTTGGCTCCGCTGTTAAATTCATTCGCTCTTCATTAATAAGTGATCATCATTTTTTCAACTTGCTTGTACCGGATCGAAAATAAACGGAAACTAAGCACTTTCCACAGTAGCAACCTTGGCTTTCTTCTCCTTTCCCCCATCACTGCTTTCACCTTCAACTTCTGGTTCCTCTTCTGCCTTCCTTTTCGCACCTGCGGCTTGTATTGGTAGATCCTTTGTTTCCTTTTTCTTGTGTCTGACTAAACCCGTGAGGTCTGTGGCTGTCTTGGTGGCTTCTTCAACGCGTGCTGCGGTGTCGGATGCAGATTCGCCGAGGATGTTTCCTAGGATGCCGCTCATGGGGTTGGATTGGGGTGCGCCGGCTGGAGCAAGGGCTGCGGCAACTGCTTTGTTGATGTTGACGGGTGGAGCGCGAAGTTCTTGGAGCTGTGGAGAGAGAGAGTTTAGTGGATTGCATGCTAGTAGAATGTTGCGGGCAATACAAGGAGTAGAAAAGAAAGGGGGCACCATACACGAAGCTCCATATCCGCAACAATACTCTTAACATCGGCGATTCTGTGTCTCGTAACATCATTATCTTCTGCGACGGCCGTTTCTGCCAATTCAACTTCTTGGTTATGCAACTTAAGTTTCGTGCTCTTGATCGCGAGTTCTAGTTCCTTAACGGCTTCTGCTCTCATCTCCTCGTCAACATTGTCGGCTCCTGCATTAGGCTTTTTATCCTCGGATTCGGTTTGTGTGATGGATGCGAATTCGAGGGCGAGGGATAGTTTGTAATGTGCTTCGGCGATTTGTTCATCTTCTTCTGGAAATAGACTTTCTTTCAGCGCTAGCGATTCTCTGAAATCTGATACGGCAGCTGGAAATCTATAGAAGCGTTAGTCATGGAATGAAATCCCATACAATGATATGTGCGCACCTTTCGTTTTCAAGAGAAATTTCTCCCAAAAGATCGCGTGTATCTGCAAGCCTCTCTTTGATATGAATAGTCATGAGGTTATCACCAGTCTCCTTTCCTTTGCCCTCACCCTCATCCGCCTGTAATCTCTTCTCAAATAGCACTCGTGCCAAATCCAGAATGTCGAAAGCAAGATTGAGAGGATCATCTTCCTCTTCGTCTTCATCTCCTTCTCCTTCTCCTTCTGCCTCTTCCTCCTCGTCTGAGTCTTCAAAATTCTCATCTCCCGTAAATGTAAATAAAGGCTTCTTTAAATCCGTACTAGAACTCTCCTCTTTCTTGGCTGCACCTCCATTCGCAATTGTGGCAACCGCTTCCTCTACCGCTTTATCTGAAGTTTCGTCCCCTTCCGCCTTTTCGGTCTCATCTTCTTCCTCGATGGTATCTACTTTCTTTCCAGCACTTTTCTTCTTAGGTTTTTGGTTCTCACCACTTGACCTACCACCCAGAACATCACTTTGCTGCTGCGCAACCTTAAACAGTGCCCTCCCATATAAGAACAGGATTTCCGCATTCTCAGGCGCCATTTCTCCATTGATCTCAGCTTGTAATTCGGAGGCTTGCGCATAGTGATCTACGGCATCGTCGTAGCGCTTTTGCGCATATTCAGCGGTTCCTTTGGCGCAATATTCGGCCAGGGATACTTTGACGGAATTGTAGGTCTCCATGTCTTCGGACGCTAGTTTAGATAGAGTGATGGGTGGTTCAATTGGTTCAGCCATGGTGTTTATGACTATTGAGAAGGTATTTAAGGTGGTGCGATGGAGGTTATGATGGAGATTTGAAGTTTGGTCGATCTGTTGATCAGATTGTAATTGCAAAGGTTTAACAGTCAAAGGTGAATTGAGGAAGAAATACAGGAAAAGAATTTGCGACAGCTGAATTGAGCAACAGCTTGCTTTTGAAGCTTCGCAAAGTCGTAAGACATTGAACGAGTGAAATTGCAGGGATTAACCTTATCTAACAGCTTTACGCGAAAATAGAAACACTTTAACTTTTACGCGTCGATAACGCGTCTCACTACCTTTGATCAAATTATGTATGAAGCATATACCGAGTATGAATTCATCAAATAAAAGATCAGGTCAATTACACAACTATATTATAGGAAATCGGAACTTTAAATCGAAGATATGAGTGGCCCAAATCCAATAAAGAAATCAAAAGCCGCTCCAATCTTTAGGATTCCTGCTACGCCCGCCGCCAATATAAATCCTATCCCCTCATCGTCACCCGCGTTTGCAACTCCAGTACATCCCATACGACCATTCAATGCTGCCGCAATTCCTATACAAAAAGCGAGCATTCTACCAATTCTCCTGCCACCTGCGATATTAAGACCTTTGGCTTTTCGGACTTTCACAAAGAAACATAGTTTGACTTTGACGTCGTCGGCTTTACAAGGGTTGGCGAGTTTTATTGGGAAGCATTGTGGGACAGGATGGAGGGAAGAAGGATTGGCGGAGAGAGTTTTGGAGGAGATTGCGAAGAGTTGGAAGAATCGGAGTGGTGGTGTTATTGTGGATGGAGATAGCACAGAATTGAAGGAGATTTTGAAGGCGTTGGAAGGAAATATGAGTGGCGGAAGGATAGTTGTAGGAAGGGAATTGAGTCGGCAGAATAGTCTGGTATTGGGGTCATCACAGTATGGGGAGGTCAGTCATACCAGGCTTGGATTACGGCCGGGAAAGGTACCAAGAGAGGATAGTCAATCGAGTCTGGGAATGTCTATGTTAGAGGTGGATGACGAGGAAGATGAAGGTGGACTAAGGGATCCGAGGAAGTGGTTAAAAGTCATTGATGCTTTTGAACAACCTCGACTGGTTTATAACGTTGCTAAGAAGCATTTTGATAGGTATGTTCTAGTCATGGATTCGTTGAGAAATTTGCTGATGCAATATAGAGATACTTCCAAGCCCTCATTATTCCCGCCTGCCTCCCATAAGACCCTCCTCTTCCAAAACCGCTATAACGTTATCCATCAACGTCTCCTCCGTAATGATTCCTTTCAAACACCCGCTTTTCAAGGTGGCAAAGCTTCCCTTCAACGCAGCACCTCCATCTCCACCACTTCACAACAATCCTACAAATTAACACCAATAGCCAATCTCCTCGGCCGCAACCGCAGTACCCACATGCTCCTCGGCCTCCTCAGTATTTCCCCAACTGGTACTCTTGCCATCAATGACCTAACGGGCAGTATCGCTCTCGATCTCACACACGCCAAAGCCATCCCCGAAGACGGCGCCTGGTTCGCCCCTGGAATGATGGTTCTCGTCGACGGTACATACGAAGAAGATGAAACCGGAACATCGTCTCGCCTTGGTGGAAATGGAGGCGTGGGCGGTACGATTTCCGGTAAATTTATCGGATTTTTCATTGGTCATCCTCCTTTAGAACGTCGTCATGTCACTCTCGGCACAGCTGGTGAAGGAGATACAACAGCCGGTGGTGGTTTTGGCTGGGTAGACTTTCTAGGTGTAGGTAGTTCCCGAGCCCTAGGTACCAAAATGCAACGACTCGAACAAAAGCTCCTTCGGCCTCCCCCCTCCTCTCCAGATACAGACGATTCCCCTCTCCCATCTCGAGGTCGTGTAGTCATTCTCGGCGAGGTCCACCTTGATATCCCCCAAACTCTCGAAGCCCTCAAAAAGATCCTCTCACTCTATTCATCTGAACCAGAAGGTTGCACACCCATGACATTCATCCTACTCGGATCCTTTGTCTCCCACGCCGTACTCGCCCGCGGCGGATCAGGAGGCTCTATAGAATACAAAGAATATTTTGACTCCCTCGCCGCCATTCTCTCAGAATACCCTACCCTCCTAAGTACCGCAACATTTATCTTCATCCCCGGCCCCAACGACGCATGGGTCTCCGCCTTCTCATCCGGATCCTCTGTCCCTCTTCCCAGAAAGCCTGTACCAGAAATGTTCACCTCGCGCATCAAACGCGCATTCGCAAACGCTAATACCGAAATGGAGAAAGAAAAGGGGAAGAAAGGTGACGGGGAAGCCATATGGACAAGTAATCCAGCGAGAGTTAGTTTATTCGGTATGAGTTGCGAACTAGTCGTATTCAGAGACGACGTTAGTGGGCGTCTGCGCCGCACCTCCGTCACGCTCAACTCATCCAAAAAGCCCACTCCCGAAAACGAAAACCAAGACGAAGACGAAGACGTAGACATGTCGCCTCCTCCCTCCTCCATCCCCTCATCCACCCCTCCTCCAGACATGGACCCCGACATTCATACCGCACGCCGACTTACCAAAACCTTACTCGATCAAGGACATCTCTCACCCTTTCCCCTCAACGTCGCACCTCAACATTGGGATTTTTCAAATGCGCTCAGTATTTATCCATTGCCTACCGCGATCATCCTGTGTGATGTAGATAGTCCGCCGTTTTGTTTGACGTATGAAGGGTGTCATGTTATGAATCCAGGAGGTGTGGTGGCGAGGGGAAGAAGGGGCGTGGCGAGGTGGGCGGAGTATGATGTTTGGGGGAGGATGGGGAAGGTGAGGGAGGTGAACTTTCAGGGTTAGGGGGAGGATGTAGTGGGAGAGAATAGTACATGTCGAGGATCGGACATAGATATCAGCTGTGGCATGCAGTCCGGCAAAGTCGGAAGCTGGGAGCTGGCTACGAAATGATTAATCGAATCGATGATTATTGGGGTTTTGCACCCATGTACAATGCTCAGTATACGAGTAGATTAGATTACCTAGGTACATATGATATGAATAACATGATGATGTGATATGCAAGGCTTAGTACAGAATAATGTTTCGTCCAAAAATAAGACTCAGGGGTGTACCTAATCAAATGCTATTGATGGGAATTTCCTCGGGTGTGGCATATACATAGGGGTGCGTATCTCGAAATTATATGAATTGGCTGCCTAGAACTTCAACTTCCCAGTCGTGGAAAACAATTGCCCTTTGCAAAAGATTGTCCTCTTTCGAATAACATAACATTATATTGAATCCATCATATTATCTATTTTAAACTGTATAGACATTCGATGTTTCTATTTGGAAGATTATTATAAGATTTTTTTGGAATTCTTTATATATGATCATTATTCGAAGAGGAACAATCGCTTGCAGGTAATAATCGCTTTCCCGACTACGAAGCAGACGGCTGATCCATGGAGAGCCAACTATTCTACATTATCATCTCTGATACTATCATCTCATCCGCATAATGGATGGTCAATCACAAGTATGATAAATTAGTGCATGTGTTTCCATTTAAGCCTTTGTCTTCTATTTGTCACTTAATTTGAAACTTAAGTGCTGCAATCGTGAGTAGCTTAAGCGACGTCCGCATCACCCCGGCTCTACCCTACGTCTCCTAGGGCTTAGAGACGAAACAAGCATGCAAATCCCACGCTAACCCACACATCTCTGCGAGCTCTGTCGCTATATGCGCTATGCGCTTAACCTTGAGTCGTTGATGCTCCGTTCGCCATGACGCCATATCCTGTAACCTCATTCCCAGTCGTTTGTTCATGAAATCAAATATTTATTGGATGTATTCGCAATAAAAGCGTCTTCAAAAGGCAGCACTCGATGATGGAGTGGTGCTACTGCTACCACGTAGATGCGATGAGGAGCCCTTGAAAAGCGATTGCCATACAAATGCTTCTCCCAGAAGCATATTTATGTCGGTTTCTGTCCAATTGCGAGTGGGTAGGGCCTGCAGAAACATCATGATTTCTTGAAAGTCCATTTTCAATAATTTAGACGACCATTTCACAAGAAATGCGAGGCACACATATAAATGGAATTCTGAGAAGCCTTGCTCTTCAGCCTAGAAGTTTGTGTTAGAAGTGGAAAAGAAGGGGGATGTTTGCTACGAACCAAGTAAGTGTCCCACATCCTAATGGTATTCTGAACACTGATCTCTCGCATCAAGAGACAATTCATCCATCGGAAACTAAATTGTATAAACTCAACGCCTTCTGCTTGAAGATGCTTGGCCAAGGGTTCGTCAATCCTTGCGGTTAGGTCCCGAAGCGATGCCACCTGACGTTGAATCCCTGGCTGCGCAAAAATATAATTATCCTGAATGCCATCCAAAAGTTTTGTCAAACACCAAAACGAATCTGCTTCAACTGCGTCTAATACTGGTTTGGGAAGCTGTCCTGGATCCATACCACTTTCTACATCTGAATCTGCGATATATGTCGCAAGAAAGACTTGCCAGAATGGAGTGACAAGATCATTGATGCCTTGCACATATCCACTTGCAGGATGACGTATTGCCCAAACGTACAGAATTCTCTCTAAAGATCGTTGCGTAGCCTCATAACTGTAAAGCTCTAAATGTGGATTGGTTCGCGGCACGTCGATACTTATCTGATGCCAGATGGCTTCATCAAGTCCCCTGGCTTTGCCAGTGGGGGCAGAACTAGTGCCGCCTTTCTCAAAAGCTTGTCGTACCCCGTCAAGATATTCTTTTCGCTTTCGTTCTAATGTACCCACACGTCTTTCACTACTAGTGGGAAGATAACCAAGTAGCAGCTGCCATGACATTGCACGAACTTCTTCCGGTATTCCATTCCAAGAGGCATCTCTGAGCTCCGTTAAAGGTATAGAGGTAGCTTGTAATATCTTCTTGAATTTATTTATCCTTGTTATCCGAGCTCCATATGCTTCCACTTCTTTGGAAGTAGCATTGAGTGGTACCGGAGGATGATCTATTAGGTGTAGAGAATTCGCAGGATCGCGAAGTATTTCTTTGTATTGAGGCCGGAGTATCTTCCCTTCACTCTTTTTCGCGACCGGGTAACTTGGCGCGGGTCGTTCGATCGCAATATCTGCACTGTTTGACATTCTTCGCGATCCTATTCCCATTGCGTTCGCCCCGAAGCTAGAGCGCCACGGAGAGAGGTTGCCTTCGTCGACTGCAGTTCCAGCTGATGCACTTTTAAGTCGACTCTGGTTTTTGCGCTTCTTGCTAGATATACTCGGGAGTCCAAAATCGTCCCCATCGTCATCCTCGTAACCATATTCATCCTCTTTCTCCTCTTCGTCGTCGGCGGCCCAGTCATTATTTGTGTGTGATATGTAATCTGTATAGGATCTGCGAGGTGGTGGGGACAATGCTGCCGGACCTCGTTGCGGGGGAGTATTACTTCTGTGTTTGTGCGAGGGATTGGATGGCGGCGTCCTGGGGCGTGAAGCGTTAGATAAAGATCTGAACTCTAAGTTAGCTTGCTTTTCACTGAACGAAGGCGTGTGAAACGTGCAAGTTATCGAACTTTAATATGTCGGCATGAGAGTATCCAGCTCCCACAACAAGTCCCGATCCCGACTCGCTATTCTGCTTTTTCGGCGATGCATCACGGCGACCACTTGCTGTTCGGGCACGCCAGAAAGGAGATGATGATCTGTTCATGTCAGTCCTTGAAATCTATATTCGACACTGCAACTCGAAGCTTCTGCTAAGCGGAGCGCAAAGAGACCTCGGATGGAAACGTACTCGGCACGCTCTATAGTGTACGGTTAGATATCAGTCAAGTTATGGTAGTATAACACGCATAGTTGAATATGCAGAACTATGCGCAAGCTTCAAAACAAGAAGGCGCGGGGGGCAAACTGACCAACCTGAACCATCTCCTACAAACAGTGGCTCGAGTCAGCTATATATCAGGGAACCCTGGACAGTCTTATTGCATACCTGTTGGACTGGCTTTTTGTTGCCATTCGAAGAAGAGAACATCTTCACAGCCCCTCATAAAATGAATAGTTTAGATTGTAATGTTTCTTTTTCATCCCTTACAACATTGTAGGTGTTCTCTTCTATCATCAAAATGCATACCTAGTAGCCATTGTTTGAGTTGTTGTGTTGCGCGCGCGGGCTCAGGCGGACGATGGCCCGCTAGCTTCTAAACCTAGTAGGTCAATTCAAATGTAATTGAGGAAAGGAAGGAAACTCCTCCTCCTTAAGACATTCAATCTATTCACTTCTTACTTTGGATTTTCTACATCATTCTGTTTCTCTATCTACTTCCACTTATACTTCGATTTTAAGCAGAAGAACCTTCTCAACTCAATTCTTAACTCTTCTGAATACTTCCAATACTTGCGTTTAAAGACTGCAACCTTTTCACGAACCTTTTCCATCGAGAAGTTTGCGAAGCAGCAATTATTGACTTTTGACAAGAGTTACTCATCAGTCTGCAAACTAACGTTAGGCTGAATTTGATCAACATATCTCACAGAACATAGATCGACTCAATATGGCTGAAGCCGAGAATTTCGAGGAAGATCTCTTCGCTGACCTGTACGTATCATTCATCTTGCACTGGTTTTCTATTACTACTCGGGTGGTCGCACGTTCATCAACACGTCGCAAAAAACTTGGCTGATACATTGCATTAAGGTACACCGAAGATGATAACGCCGCAAATCCAGTAGTGGAAGTACCCGAACCTGCTTCCCAACGTTCGGCCCCTGCTCCAGAACCAAAAGCTGAAATAACAGCTGAGCAAGATGTTGAGCAAAATCCACAAAACGGGGATGGAGATGGAGATCAACAAATGTATAATGGCGAACAAGATATGGATGACGAAATAGATTTCAATTTGGGAAGTGGGAATGGGAACGGCAATGGTTACGATGCACCATCCATTAAAGATGAAGCACATGGAACAGGTATCAAGGAAGATGGGTAAGATTGCAGACTTTTCTTTTAGCACATTATCATTACTACACGGCAGACCTGCAACATGACTGTAGTTACGAATGAGCTCCAAGCTCAATTCACATCAAGGCATAGGATTTGGGTATCATGGATATGATAAGATGAGGCTATGAGGGCCGGGAGGTTATCAGGCAACAATTCTGGAGCTGGGGTCAGGAAAGGGATCAAATGAGCAGAGATGGGCGAATTGAATGGGAGCTTCTGGGGGTTCAAGTTACTATATTAAGGGGTCTTGAGAGCATGATCCATCCTGCTTTGGCATTGGACATGCACTTTAGATTGGGTTCGCAACTGCGGGAGGGTAGAGAGGAAAATGGCGTTGGAACAAGCTCAGAGTCATTTGGTTTGAGATAATTGGGTATACACACCTCATGCATTCGCCACCCACAACGGCAATAGTCAAGCCTGCTGCTACTACTACTACTACATAGCCTATTGTCGAGATAATCTTCATAGAGCCACAGACACAGATAGGCCATAGCTCATAGCTCCGACGCCAGTACCTAGCATCACGATAGCAAAAGACACGATTGTTTTTGGATATCTTATGGTGCCATCTGTTCTATCGTTATTGCATGATTCGCAGGCAATTGCTGAGATGGTTTTGCTCGGGGGGTGTGTGCCTGGTGTTGATGTCCTGCTGGATCTATCGAGAGGTACATCCAATGCCAAATATGGCACCTTGAATTCCCAGCCCACTTTTGCTCCTTCGCCCGCAGCCCAGCAGCCCAGTTATAGATTATTTCTCCAACGAATCATGGAGGAATATATACCTCATCTCGCTACCCAAGACATGAAACGGCCTCGGAAAAAGCACCAATGGAATATTTGAGGAATCTTAGCACTGGATGACTTCATTACCTGTTCTCCTTGTCACGTTATCAATTGATGAAAATGGGTAATATGCTAACGTTCTTTTGCGTAGTAAAATGTTCATTGGTGGATTGAATTGGGAGACTACAGATCGTAAGACGGCCGAATTTCAATGTTACGCTTAACCCCTGTATGGTATGGCCGCTAACTTTGAATCCTAGAATCATTGAAGGAGTACTTTTCACAATATGGTGAAGTACTTGAATGCACCGTTATGAGAGATGGTGCATCCGGTCGATCGCGAGGATTCGGATTCCTGACATTCAAAGATGCCCGGACTGTAAATATTGTCATGGTTAAGGAACATTACCTTGACGGCAAAATCGTAAGACCCGATCTCAAAACTTTTAATAATTCTATACGCTCTTATCCCTCCAAATTCCATTCTTTAGTTTCAAAAAACACTAGCTCACAGTCAACTTTCAAGATCGATCCCAAACGAGCTATTCCGAGAGATGAGCAAGAACGTACAAGCAAGATCTTCGTTGGTGGCGTCAGTCAAGATGCTACCGAACAGGATTTCAAAGAGTATTTCATGCAATTTGGACGAGTCGTCGATGCCACTCTGATGATGGACAAAGACACTGGTAGACCACGAGGATTTGGATTCGTCACATTCGATAGTGAAGCCGCTGTTGAAGCATGCCTAGAGTCTCCACTCGAAATTCATGGAAAACCAATCGAGGTCAAGAAAGCCCAGCCTCGGGGCAACATACGAGAAGAAGAAGAAGTCAGAGGGGGTCCACGAGGTAGTCGATTTAAGAAAGGAGGAAACTTCAACGACGAGTCACAAAATCCTAATCAACAGCAACAAGGCGGTCAAATGAATGCTCCCGGTGGCATGACTCCTCAATTAATGGCCCAATACTGGCAGCGCATGCAACAGTATTTCGCATTAATGCAACAACAAATGGCCATGGGTGGAGGTCGAGGACAAATGCCCGGCGGAATGCCCGGTGGTATGAACCCTGCTATGATGGCTCAAATGGCTCAGATGCAGCAAATGCAACAAATGCAGCAGCAAATGCAAGGTGGAGGCGGGGCCGGCGCACGCAGTCAAAGCCCTCAAAGCCCATCGGTTGGAATGGCAGCAATGGCAGGCATGAATCCAGCTATGATGCAACAAATGCAGCAGATGCAACAAATGCAAATGCAACAAGCAATGGGTGGACAAGGAAATAACTATGTAGCTGGAGGTAATACTAACCCTGGTGGTGGAATGGGTACGCCCGGTTACAATGCATATGAGCAGGGGATGTTCGAGCAACAGAAATATGAACAACAACAGATGAGACGTGCTCAACGCGAACAATCGCAATACAGCGGCGGTGGTGGTGGTGGTGGATATGGAATGGGTGCGGGTGGACCGACTTCTTGGGAGGGCATGTATGATGATGTTCCTCAGCCCGGTACAGGCAGCAGTGGTGGTGGCGGACGAGGTGGATTTGGTGGTGGTAGAGGGGGTCGTGGGGGTGGAGGTGGAGGAAGTGACAGAGGATCTGCTCCACCAGCGATTGCAGCGAATGCGCCTGCGGGTGCTCCAACGGGTCCAAAGAATGCGGGGAAACCTGGTGCGAATTATAGGGGAGGTGGAAGAGGTGGCAGCAGAGGCTTCCATCCTTATGCTAGGGGATGATCAATGGCTAATTGCCTGTTCCTTTGGGTTTTCCGGAGAGTGCACCTCCATGAAGGAAGATTGTTTGAAGTCGACACCGAAGTCACCTATTCTCTCGATACACTACGATTTTTCGACACAGTCATATCACCTCTTCCATATCTCCAAAATCACAATTTCGCATGGTTTCATATCACTCTCGGCGACTAGTCTCCCATTTACTTTGTTTTCATTGTCGTTTCTCGACTATCAAATTGAGCTCCAATTCTAATGTGAGACGCTTCATGGACGGTTTCTACATTACAATAATCATCCTGTTTGCAAAGCCATTAAATTCGAAAATACTGAGGCGGGATTAGTATTCTGATATGAAATTTCCACACTTGTATATTAAAAGAAGGCAGATCAGTTTTAATGAAAACGAAAAAAGGCTACTATATGATTCTTAACCCATATATATATGGTGCTCCTGTTCTTTGTTCTCCAATCCAAACTGACTGCCCGTTATCTTCTGAGACTGTTTCATGCTGTGTGTTCAAATCCACCTACATTTTCATCATCCATCTCTCCCCTCTCCATCTGCGACAAATTAGTCCAAAGTTGGTATTTCAACAGATATTCAATTCTATTCAAAATTGATACATGGTTATCTGGTAATCTGGTGGTGTTAAGCTCCCGGTGAGCTTTCGTCTATGATTATAATCGCTTGTGAGTTCTTGTCCAATATTTCTTTCGGTGGGTTTCCTAGTGGATGTGTTTTTTGGTACCCGTTCATCATCATCATCATCATCATCATCATCATCATCATCACAACATATCTCACAGCCTGTTAAAATAGATAGCTCTTGCCACAGCTTCGATCCACATATGATACAGAAACCCATTAAGTGTACACAAATCTCATTGCCTTCAGCTTCAGTACCACACGAATGTCGACCAACAACGGCCCCTATTATCGTGTCGCGGTGGCCATTGTGAATCTTTCTTCGCATTCCCGTAATCGTGTTCATCAAAACATACACACGCATCCCTCCGGACTAGTAGATCAAATTTCGAGCTTTCAATATTCGACGAAACCTCTCATTATTGATTGGAACCTGAATTATAGTCCATTGGAAATCTGGTTGCATTGGCGCTTTTCAACTTTACCGAAATCCATCTATGAGCAGGAATCAAATGCAAATGTACTTACCAGACTGGACAACCTGCTTTGCTACTTGTACAACTGTAGCAGTGTACCACCTTCGAGATAAAGTACGTCACCACAGTTTCACCTGTATGATACCAGCACATCTTTCATGTTAACTTGATTTTGATTCTGTGATATATAAAGATAAGCCATTGCGAAGCAGATGATCCCTCTTACTACAACCAGCATATGTTGCTTTGCCGCAAGGCCCACAGCTAGCGCGAAGGTACATTATATATCGCCCCGTTTCCCCTTTCCAGATCAATGTTAAATGGAGCTTTCGACCATCATCGCGCACTCCTCCTACGTTTCACAACCAACTTCAGACCCAACTTACTAAAGCTCCAAGCAGCAATGCCAACACAATACGACTCTATCGGTATCAACTATGATACTCTGAACTCCGTGCCAATTCAGCAGATCCAACATGTGGCCATGAGAAAACTGCTCGATCCTCTTACATCCTCAACCCGCGTCCTCGAACTGGCATGCGGTACTGGCTTTTACACCCGCCAATTGCTATCGTGTGGCGCTTCCCACGTCACCGCGCTAGATATATCATCTAGTATGATATCGGCGGCTCAAAAAGCGCTCCGGGCAGAGATGAAAGAGCATGCGTGTTTCTATGTGGCGGACTGTGCTCGACGCGATATGTGGGATAATAGCGAACTGGAAGCTCAGAAAGGAACTTTTGATGTTGTTGTTACAGCGTGGCTGTTGAATTATGCAGCCACGGGTGAAGAGATGCAGTCGATGTTTGAGAATATTTATGCGGCGTTGAAACCAGGGGGGAGATTTATTGCACTCACGGTTCACGCTGCGATTATTGATAAGTTCCAGTTTGATGATCCGCTTAATGAGGGTGAGAAGTATCTTGGTACGGTGTATAATGTTATTGGAAGGGTTGGTGATGGATTCAAGATGTGTTGTCGTGCATTTGGGGAGCCAAAAATTGAGTGGGAATTCTATTTCTTGCGCGAGGAAGTCTATTCCAAAGCAGCAGTTAACGCGGGCATGGGTCGACTTGAATGGACTGTAGTGTTACCAGAAGAAAAACACCTGCGGAGTCTGGTAAGCTAGCTGCCCTCTTGTTGACGATTTGTTTTGGCTAATGGATAGTTTGAAGGGTGAAAAGTACTGGCAGCCATATTTGGATCGACCCAAAGCTGCCATCTGCATGTCGAGAAAACCAGACCCTGAATGATTTATCTATTTGAACTTCCATTTGCCTCGCCTAGAATGCACAACCGGTGTTTATGCAAAAGGCTGGATAATTAATACTCGCTTGACTAGTTTTGGTATTTTCATCCTTATTATATAGTTGTGAGGGTAGTGCAATTTCAGTATTAAACCAAAAGATTTGGTGCCACTTTCTCGAGCATCATTCTTGTTGCACTAAGTCATGATACTTCTCTCTGAGCTTCTTTGTTTTTTTCGCAAGCAACAATCTATGATATCATCTAACGCATACACGCGACGCACCGATTAGCGAAAACCCCTATACCTACCTACACCTATACCTACACCTACACCTATACCTGTACCTATACGTACTTATATAAGCTCTAATTACTGTAAATATAAATATAAAGAGAGTAAAGTAAATGAAAGAACAAGACAAAACAAAGAGAGACGAGACGAGACGAGTAGTACTATATTATGATACGAACGTGGAGATTGTAACTGTAGTAGATATATAAGTTATATAACCCATCAACTACTAACCGATCACTTGAGTAGATCAAACACAAGATCATCTTCTCATCTTCTCTTCCACCTAATCCTTCTCCATTCATTTTACCTAATCTTCCCTCATCCCATCCCATCTCACTCATTCTTCTTTACTCTATCTACCAGTATTATTCATTACACTCATTCACTTATTGTATACACATTTCATGAGTATTATATGTATCTATTTTATTGATACCATATATATCCATATACGTCTGCGTCGCAATGTTCATATTCATTCTCTCCCCCCTCCCCCTCCTCGACCCCTTTTCACCCCTTTTCACCCCTTTCCACGAATTTCTATCACGACCCTTCCTCCTTTCTTCCCGTTTTTAATTTTACCTTCCCATTTTCCATGCCATCCCATACCATCCCTTCAGGCTTTATTTGTCTCGCCATCGCATCCATGCTAACCAACCAATCATCTTTCCTATTCTCCTTCTACACTGCTCACCACCCCTTGCCCTATGTTTCCATACCACCATACCTTCCAGCCACCCAAATCAAAAACGCCAGCCACAAGAAACCCACCGCCCTAATCTAAACCCAGCGTACAAGAATGCAAAAATTGCGAAAGGAAATCTCGCAAAATGGTATAGCAAAACCAAGCCACCGACCAAATATGACCATCTCAATCATACAAAAATATAACATATTATCCCCTTCCTTCTTCCCACCTTTCACCCCTTTTCTTTTCCCTCTTTACTACCCAAACCCACATCTTCCCCAATCTGTCACCTCAATACCTCCGCCTCCTCGAACTCGGAGCCCCCAAATCAATATTTTTCATCTCCTCCTGCAGTGCCCACGCATCCCCTCCTCCCCCACCTCTGCTCCCAGGATTACTTACCGGGGCCGGTGACGCCATCGGAACTTTCGCTGGTACGACTGGTCCAACCGCCCCTCTGTATCCACCTCCACCGCCGGCACCAGGACTACTTCCATATTGATAACCACCCGACGAATAATTTTCATTGGCATATTCTGCCGTTGCAGGTCTCTGCATCGAGGTTCTACTCGATGCATAATTTGAGTCTTTGTACATTGGTACGTTTGGTGATGAGTGGTATGCAGGTTGTGCCGTCATGCGGTTTGATTTCTTTTGGAGTTTTCTATGAGCGGTGGCTGGAGCATGATCGGGAGTGCCGCCGCTGAAGTAAATTGGGGAAGAGACAGCCATTGATTGAGGTCGTCCTGCTTGACGTAACGGCTTGCGACTAGTTGATGATACTGGCTGGGCTGGCGGAAGAGCTCGATAATTACGATCTGGCATTTGCGATGCGTATTTAGGCCCTTTTTGTTCGAGGAGTGGTGCATAATTAGACTCGGGAATATGATCACTTGGATCGATCTCTCTACCATCATGAGTGATGATCTTCGCATCCGGGTCATCTTTAGAATCATAAGCAGCACCTAAAGAGTTTGCAGATTTCGATCCCGCTAGACTTGGATTGAAAACATCATATGAATCCGGACCGAAAGCAATACCTGATAACCTTCTGGGTTCCGGAGCAGGACTGACCGATTTTCGCATGACCGATGGATTGGGAGAGGCACCTCTGTGTGACATTGGAGGATTGGGCGAAGCACCTCTTCTATCCATGGACGGATTAGGCGACGCACCTCTTCTATCCATGGACGGATTAGGCGACGCACCTCTTCTATCCATGGACGGATTAGGCGATGCACCTCCTCTATTCATAGGATTAGGCGAGGCTCCTCGCCTATCCATTGAGGGATTAGGGGAGACAGCCCTCCTATTCATCGCAGGGTTAGGCGAGGAACCCCTAGGCTTTACAGGTACCATAGCAGTGGAAGTAGCATATCGACCCTGGCGATCATCATACGCTCCCTGTGGCGAGTATGGTACAACGGCCGAATTGTCATGATAGGGAAGAGGTATAGGTTGTTGAATCTGTTGTGATTGATGTCTTATATTCTCTTGATATCTTCCTCGCTGCGATGTCACAATGTTTTGGCTATGACTTGCTCGCTTCTCGTGATAAATCCGATCCGAGATTTCCTTGGCAATGATTGGATCCATTCCCGGTACCAAAGTTGGTGGCATCTCAGGTAAGCCATAATCACCATTAGTACTTTGCAAACCTAAAGACTGGCTTCTATCTTGACGAGATGAGGGAAGTTGTCCATAAGAATTTCTCGAGGTTATGGAAGCGCTGTCCCTGATTGAAGACATAGAGCTAGATGCCGGATAACCACCTGAGCTGTTCGAATACTGATGACTAGGAGCAGTTGTTGAGACGCTATTCCCGCTAGGTCGATGCCTCAAATTCAATGGCGCTGGTACATGATCATACATCTCATCAGTCTGATATTGCATGGCACTGGGTGCACTGCCTCTATGTGGCATAGCCTTGTAACTACCTAGTCCTGGTGCCGGTGTGGGTGGGGCATCCTCGACCGTCGGCTGCATGTCATCATGACTGGGGTTATACCTCAAATCTCTAGAATCATAAGAATTTTGTCGAGGTTGGTAAGAGTTTCCATTCCCCGACCTTCGAAATTGATCATCGTTCTTTGGTGGACTATAGGCTTGATAAGCTGGAGTGGGTTGTGTATATGCAGGCATTGAATTGCGATGCATATCATCCAATGAAGTATTGTAAGGGTTTGAATTTCCCCTGCTGACTGGACGACCATGAATTGCCTTGGTTTGCGCAATAGGTGGTACCGAGCTCACGTGCTTACTTGCATGGGCCGGAGGTGGTGGTGGAGGACCAAGACTCATTGGAAGATCATATGGATCTGGCTGCTGAGGCTCATAAGTGAGCATACGAGGTCCGCCGTATCTATCGCGAGAATCCTCTTCCTGTGGTGGGTATTGATTCATATCGTGACCGCGTTCATAATCATTGCTGGACATTGGGTCGTATATTTCATATCTATCATTATTTCGCATTGGTTGTGAACTTGGTGGTGCCGCAACTATCATGTCCTGGGGTGCTCCATATGACGTCGATCCTGGACTTACATCGTAGCCTTGGGGCTGATTATATCGGCCTGGGGGTGTATTATACTCCACTCTTTGCAAAGGCGATTGATCCGGAATGAACCCATTCTGGTATGCACGCGGGGGCGTTTGTACGTGTTCCTGAGCGAGAGTAGGACTGTGATATCCACGCTGCGCTTGCATTGGTTCAGAAACGGCAGCAGGACTTGGATACCCCCGTGGCAAAGGTTGATCCTGTATTACTGGTGGGTTCGCGTATCCTCGAGGGACATGATCTGGCATACCGTTTGAAGACATTTGATATCCCTGCGGTGATGTCTGAATGTGGTCCGGTATTGCTGTCGGTGAGTTTTGGTAGCCTCGAGGTGGCGTTTGAACATGATCTGGTATCGCAGAAGGAGAGTCTCTATACCCACGAGAAGGGGTCATCTGCACATGATCGACTACAGATGGGGCTTGATATCCTCGCGGAGGAGTATGAAAAAGTTCGGCAGGCACGGGAGCTGGTGAAGGAGCTGCGACAGGTGGTTGCGCTGGAGCCCCAGTAATTGGATCAGATGGTAGGGGTCGTCTTTTAATAACAGGTTTCACACCCAGTTGTCTTGGTCCGCCAACCCCTTCTCTCGCACTCCCACTTCCACTCACACTTCCAAATTCTGTTATTGATTGCGCAGATGTAGAAGGAGTAATTGTCGACGGGCTCTGTTTGGGTTCTTTCTTCTCTGGCTTCTCTGGTTTAGGCCGTTTATCATAATATGTGATCTCAACCCTGATCTCTCCCGCATATTTCCCTTTGAAGCTTAAATTATGCCACACATCACTTTGCCCACCTCCTGTAATGATAACATCTTGCAGATTAACCCAAGTCTCTCCTATCAAATCCGTTCTCTTGTCGTCGTTGAATACTGATATCTTCAATTGATAATAATCCGGCGAATCGTGGACTGTAAATCGTAGCTCTTGATCCCTACATAGCCTCGTTAGCAGAATCCTAGCATAGACTCCCAATTGAGTACTCACCATCGAGGAGTTTGTCCACCTCTCTTGTCCGTCTCTGTTTTCTTTGCTTCCTTGCCCAGCCGAGCAGCACAATAAGGATCTTGCTTTCCAATTGTCTTTCTATTCGGTAAGTTCTTTGCTCGATCAACGATTACAACCAGAGTACCAATTATCGGACCGTCAACAGTCATATCTGAAAAGATTCCAGCAGTATGCATGCCCGCCATTTTGGGTTTCATCGCCATATTGAAGAAACGAGGGTAGGTATGTTAAAAGAAAGTAAGATTATATGTATAATCCAATGGTCGTGTGTTAAAATAATTCTCGAGGTCGAGGTCGCGGATCGTGTCCTAGTCGTAATATTGGTCTCGGTCTCGGTCTCGAGATATGTGTAGTAGTTTGTTTCTTGCTTTTCTTTCTTCTTTCTCCCTCGCCAGCTCTAGCTGAGCATTGTTACTGGAATTTCCTCTACTGATATTCCAAAGCCAACGCCGAGTATGTACGATTTCGCGTTAGAACCCAAGCATCTCAGACCATGGCATGCAGCATAAATCGTGAATTGATGGGGATCCAGAAATCTCGAAGAATTGATTTGAGGAAGAAGAGGTTTTGCCCGTTTCGTTTGGGATGAAGCGGGTCTACAGTGGATAGATTCAAAGGGTTGTTCAAAGTGTTTTCCCTCTCATCAGTGCAGAAGTGTGAGAAGTCGTAAAGAGAGTGGCTGAATTCGTGGAGAAAGAATGGCGAAGGCTGGTGTTTGATCCTTGTTCAACCTCGTTAAGAAACAAAAGGGATTAGTTAATTAGGAACGTATTGAATCTTTCATCAGATGTCTATTTGAATTTCCATTGTTTTTGTTTACATCGGGTGAATCACCTAGATACCGGCAGTACTGTAGTAGCTTTTCGTAGTTTGTTTCACTTCACTCTCCCATCAAAGTCTCAAATATCGCATTGATGACGAAAATGGGACCCTTGGTTTGTATGTATGTACATAATTTAAACCTTGTCAGGGAATATCATTATAATATAATCCTTGTTTAGATACAGCCCGTCCAGGTCCAAAACGAAAGGGAGGAAAACAAAAATAGAAATGATTTGTTTACAGCGTTACGAACATCTAAAAGTGGCTGAAGTGGAGTGGCTTTCACCAAAAACAACCTTCTTCTGGAAATGACTAATAAGCCGGGGCCCCAAGTTCGATAAAAGTCAGATATGGCGAAATATTTATATGGTGGAGTCTTTTGATGCAGGTACCAACGTTCTAGCTCTATGATCTAATTCATGAACCTCAGTGGTTATCTAGTCTTAGTTAGGAGAAGATGAGGTGGAGGGTTTCCATCCGTTATTATTGTTGTTGTTGTTATTGTTGTTGTTGTTGTTGCTGTTGAAGAAAGCTGGGCAAGGCCTATTTATTGAACGCCGCTTTTGATCTATTCTCGGATATTCCCCAATGGCGGCGTATTGAAACCTAAGCTTAGCTTACCTTATCTTATCCATACGATATCAACTTTAATTAAAGCACCAACTCTCTTATTCATCACACCTCCAACCTCAAACACCCTAATTAATCTCTCCACCACCCACTTCTCCGCCCTAACATCAATACACCGCACCATGTATTCCATCGCGCCCTCCCCCTCCCCCATCCCCACCCTCCTATCCGACCCAATTCCCTCCACCCCACCCGACACATCCGCTCCTTCAATCCTCCGCTACATAATCGGCTTCCTACTCATCGGCATCGCCTGGGGCTTCACCACCCCCTTCATCCGAGCCGCCGCACGAACTCATCAACCTCCCACTCACCCCATTCTCTCATCTCACGCTGTCACCCAATCATATTTTAAATCGAAGTTGTATGGCGCATTTTTCGGAGTCGTGGATCTTTTGAAAAATCCTAGATATGCCATTCCGTTGGTGGTGAATTTGACGGGGAGTATTTGGTTTTTTTTGCTGATTGGTCAGGCTGGTGAGTTTGATTTCTTTATGTTTGAGGTGATTTTTGGGGGTGACTTTGGGGGAGAAGATTGGCAAGTGGTGTGAGTGATGGCGTAGATGATGCTGATGATATATATAGAGCTCTCATTAACAGTCCCCATCACCAATTCCCTCGCTTTTCTTTTCACAGTAATAGGAGAATGGTGGGTCGAAAGAAAAGTCATCAGTCGTGGTAAATTCTCTCATCATTTTCCCCTATTACCTTCCCTTTGCCTTCCCTCATCAACATTATTGATCAGAGCTCAAAGACTTGGAAGTGTGAGGCACCGAGTACGAGTACGAGAACTGAAATATCGATAGATACCTGGATCGGAATGACTTTATCCTTATGTGGCATCGCTCTTTGCGTGCATAGTAAGACGCGATGAGCCTTCCTTTGGTTATTTTTGGATCATGCTTTCGGGAGTGGGGTGGTTCTATTTTCAATGGAAGGATTGGATATAAAGGAAGAAATGTATCAGGTAAGGTTCTAGGAAATTGGATATTTATTTAATTTTACCGCCGTACGAGGAGGCTTTGGTATATTTTCTTTGCTTCCAGATTAACGTAAAGAGTACAGTATGATTCACAATATTGGATACTCACAGGTTGGAGAAACCGATGCTATTGATATTACTTCAGTAGGTAGGGTTCATAACATTGAATACTCACAGGTCGGAGAGGTCAACGCTATTGATCATTACTTGGAAAGTCGATATCACCTTTCAATAGTTTGATTTAAAGATTAATATTAGACACACTAGCGCAGCTCTATGCTCTAAATCGGATCATCTCTCATCTAACTCCGCATCCCCAGTAAGTAAGTGACCAAAAAAACCCTAACCACCAGGGCCAGGAGAAAACCAAACAAGTACGCCATCCCATGCCCAACCGCCAATCCATTTTGTGTGCACGGGAATCCCAAACCATGCCATCCATCCAGCCCATCGTCCCAAACAATCCAATCCAGACTCAATAAAGTCATCAAACATTACCCAAACCATTCTCCATCTCCCACCCCTGAAATACCCGTGCAACAAATAGTATTACAACCCTCCAGTCAATCAATTCACCCCGTCCACCTTCCCCTTTCACATAACCGACTCAAACTCGGTAGTCACATCTACTTCTTCCCGTGTCCACGTGTTTCAATTCCGACCACCTGACACTGACAGCTCAACGTCTAGCCCTAACCCATCTCTGCACATGTCTCAAGCTCGGATCTTCCTGCGTCCAGCGCCCCATCCTATAATCAGACGATCTCAGATCCGAGTATATGGCCTCGTCCGCGATCGATACCAATTCCTGTTTCCCAGATCAGTAATCATCACATTTTAAATCAATAGTATCATATCAAAATATCGAAAGTTGGCAGGATCCTTGCTCGTTCGCCAAAGATCTGGAAGTGGAGACGGCCCGGCGGCTCAGAGTGAAGAAGAAAATCTTTCTGACTTACTGCTCGAAGTTGCATATCGCATACGTTCAATTGATCAGTGTGCCCGGTATGAGGTCTCTGGCCTTGCAAGATTTCATCTCTGTAACTGATCCAACGCTGTGCAGCGCCTTGACGGAGGTAGATCTTCTGAGCCTCGTGACGGCGGGAAAAGGCGTCAAGGAGTACCCTTCTTGCTATTAGTAATGAAAATCATAAGAAGATCCAATTGTAGATACTGTGCAATTTAGAAGTGAGGATGGACATACTGTTGCAATTCCGCTTTAGCTTGCTCATCTGCACCACCTCGAACACGTGGAACTCGAGTCTCAGCAGCACAATTCAGGATATGCTGGCCATCAAGGGAACATTGACGAAGAGCGGCATATCCTTCCGTATAGTAATCCTCAATGTTTGATGGGTCAGTAGGAGCAGCGGCGATGTAGTATTGAAGAGTGCGGAAGTCTGAGAGAAGATCTGCTACCCGAGCAGTTCTTTGATCGTTTACTAGTGATTGTGTTAGCCGTTGAAGTCAATTGAGTCTCATCCGTCCCGAATGCACTATAGGGACGAGAACAAGTAACAGTCTTGTGTGGTAGGAACATCAATTGACTTACGTCCGTCAGCCATTGTGTATGTAGATTTGTGTGTTTGAGATTGTTGTAACTTCAAATAACGGGAAGATAACACTGCAATGACTTGCTAATTGGAAGGAAGTGGAGGCGTGGAGATGAATGAGGAAGGAAACTGAATGAAAGACTGTGCCGTTGATGTCTTGAAAAAATGAAGTCATCTCGACCGTTTATGAAGCTTTTCAAATCCTACTTGACTGGACTTGACGTTGATTCTGGATATTGATCATCCACTTTGAGTCTCAACGTGGCTGGCTAACGGGAGGATACCTCAGCCAGGCAAAGCCAATTCTTTGATTCCATTGAAAATATTAGATACCATTGAGGTACTCTCACAGTACAGAAAGCCATTTGTGCCCCACAACAAAGTCCGATCGTTAACGATACGGGAGTGACGAGCTCAAAGCTAGTTTAAACCCTACTGAGCTGTAAGGATGTAAGGATGCAAGGATACTAAGCTATTGTAGTACCCTCTAGATATGCATGACGGCAGTGATTTGCGATATGTTCAAGGGTTCAGATTTGATGACCCGAGACGGGTTTGGGGATAGTATTGTGTAATGGGTGTATATAAGATTCTTAGAGGAAGGTGGAAGTAGATGGTAGGGATTGGAACGTGGAAACGAGTGGTGGAGGATGATGGGAGGATGAGATGAAAGAGAGGTTGTGGGTAATAGATATGGGTCCCCTGTGTGATGTACAGTCAAATCTATGTAGGTGTGGGCGCAGGAGTATTTGGATAATGGTTTGGATTCCTTTTAGTTTTCTTGGTAAAAAATATTGATGCGCTACACCTCGGTACCTTGAAGTGCTGCTCGCGTGGGAACAGGGATAGTGTTCAGCCTTCAAACCTAGTGACCCATCAGTCCATCTAATCCACTCACAATCTCGGAAAAAAGCCATCAGAGTGAAAACCATGTAAGTTCAAGGCTCAAAATGCGTATTGCCATCTGATTTGTAACCAATAGGCACCTTCTGATCGAGGTCACAACATCGCTACAGCTGAGGTTGTAGATGGCATCTCACTCACATTGGACAAGCGGTGACTGCGCCCAAGCAGGTACCAACCATATCATCCTATACCCGGAAAAATCTCCTGAGGCCTGATACAAACTTCAGTAGATCATTCAAGAACATACAATCTTTACCCAGTCCTATGAGATGATTTCTTTGGCGGATATTATTCATCACCGCATCTCAATATGTCCACATCCGTAACTTGGTAAACCCAATAAACCAATCCCACCTACTTGGGACCCCACCACACCTCCATTACTCTTCTTGGATCTCAAATTCCCAATACTCTATATTTACTGTTCCCTGTCCTATACTTTGTTTGAGATGTGAGATGAATTAACGATTCGATGAATGACATTGATTTCCCAAACCATCTCCTGCGTAGGGCTGCGTATGCCAGATCGGTTGATGTCGCAGTAAAGAAAGTTTATGTTTTCCTGGATCTGAATCTATTGAAGTTATGTTATTGGGTACTAGGTAGTCAGATTAGTCAGATCATCTAATATCATCTAATATCATCACAGCACACATCAGAGTACCTACCTACCTAGGTAATAGATACCGAGGTCGATCGCCTATATTTTGCAGTCTAACATTGTCAGTGGTCAAGCCACAACAAGGCTGTCTTTTCTTCGTAGGGTTGTTTCGTTGTTTCCCTTTCCTCCCAGTACAAATTGTTGCGCCTGATCGACGAGATGACAAAATAGATGTGGCTTTCTCGCCTACGCTCCTTCGTTGTAGAATACAATTATTATCACAAACTAAGTTTCATGGCAATAGTTTCTTGATCAGTCATTCGCCGGTATTACCGAACGCATTTCATAATTGCCTCTTCTGGATATCTTGCCTCATCTCTGTACTCATGATCGACAACTTCCTAGTCTTTCTCTGCAATTGCCTGTAACCTCTCATCAATCTCCTCTTCTGTCAAAGCCCTGAAGCCCGGATCTGTACCCTCCTTTCCGTCCTTTCTTGGGCCCCCAACAATACCAATCTCCAATTCGCCTTTCTTGAAATCAACGCTGAGAACTGTGCTCAAAGTTGTGATGCCTAATTCTACTACATCTTCCCAGCTACCTTCTGCACAATCCTTGTTCTTGAGCTTCTTCTCCAAATGATTGAAAGCCTCCTGCTGTTTCGGGCCCGAAGCCGTTCCTTTGTAACCAGTGTAGTAGCCAGCCGGGTCACATTTGTACAGTTGAGGACCAAACTCGGAATCCAACGATATTAACGTAGTTGCAACACCATACGGTCTCATGTATGCCTAAAAGAAAGTTAGGTTAGCAAGATAAAGATACAGTGCCATACGAAAACCCGACGGAGGTCCTCTTAAGTAAGCTTACTCTTTGAGTATAGACTTGGCTAATATTGGCGATCCTCTTTGCCAGGGCATCACACGGCATCTCGTATCCAAACTTATATCTGAATTCGGCAGCCTCGCCAATAGCTCTCTGAACGGAGGCTCTTGCATCTGCGATAGAACCTGTCATGACGCATCCTACGGATGGCGACAATTGGAAGATATGGGAGACGGATGATGGATCGATGAGCTTATCCTATATGGACCACCAATATATTAGTATTGAACTTGAAATAGAATTCCGAACAGTGTAACGCACGGGGACCTTCTTTTGAGACAAAACAACGGCACAATCCTTTCCTCGAATGCCTACGGACATGATGTTCGCAGCAGTAATAGCTTTGAAAGCATACTCTATCCTCGTAAGAGCAGTCAGTATAATATCATTGTATGTTGTCTTGGATTGGGGTCTCGATAGATCAATAAAGCTGAAGATCCTACGAATCCCATTGCTTTATCGGTTCTATTTGCGTCTGCGTCTGCGTACCAACTTGGTATAATCTTCCTTGATCAGAAAAGATCGTAATATGTCTGTCATAACCTGCGCTACCTATTTTGAACTGTTAGCTTGAGCTTCTTGAGGAGCTTGAGGAGCTTGTCGAGAAGTGGGCGCGCCAGTATAAACGTACCCGACATTATGAAGAAGTTGGCTGGGTATCTAAATTTGAAGAATGGGGTATCTTGCAATTATGAGCGACCGCAGATTTTAATCAACAAGTATGGTACTTTTGGGGGTGAGGAATTATGATGTTGAGGGGTGTTTATGAAGCTTCAAAGTTGTCATGTAGCTATCTAACCTTTACACGCGGAGCATGAAGCCTGGAATGACTTAAGGTTAGATCAAAATAGTTTAGCGCCGGGAATTAAAGCGGCGGGAAATCTTATCAAGAAAAAAAAGTTACTTGCGGTCCTTCACATCACATCAATTTAAGCTTCAATCTTTGGTTTTTTTGAATCTACTATCAAGGCGTACCTCACGAAGTCTAAACTTCAAATCACGCAGCAGATTAGCAGACTCTTACATTTCTCAGGTTCTTTGCCATGACACCTCCAACTTCCACGAGTGGAGGTGTGCCACGAATCCCCTCATGGAAACGATTAGGCTTGAAGTTGAAATCGGCCCAAGATTCCTCAGATTCCAATTCTCAAGCTTCAATTACCGAACCTCTTAGAGAGATCGAGATCGTCAATAGGAAAAGACCGAGAGATATCGAGTCAGAGCACGAAACGTCTTCGAAAAAGCCGAGAAATCTCAACTCTTATCCTATCTCTGAACTACAACGGCCCGTCGCTCCCGATTCAATTACTACACCTAAATCTAGCAATAAGAAATCAGTTACATTCACCCCAGAGACAAAATCACAAGATGGCGATAGTATAAAACAGTTATACTTGAGTTGGGTAGCCGATCAAAAGGCCCAAGACGACTTTTTCTACGGTCCTTCGACGACTGAAGCTCTTGAAACTCCCGCACAAAATATAGTCGAAGAACAGTTCGATACCACACTTCCAGAGAAGGAACGGAGGGTCAAAAGAGTCAAGAAGCCAAAACCAGAAGACAAAGCACAAAATGGTACGACTGAGAAGGATTCGAAGCCTCAGAAGTCAGTAAAGAAGTCGAAAGTCTCGAAACCCACCGCCGCCCCACGTCCATTTTTAGCCTATCTAAGACAGTATCACGAATCGAGGGAGACTTGGAAGTTCAATAAGAACCATCAAAACCATCTTTTGAAACACGCTTTCGACGTCGAGGTTGTTCCTTCCGACCACGCTTATCTCCTCTACGAGTACGTAAGAGGCTTGCAAGGAGGGGTCAGAAGAAGACTTCGAGACGAGGCGTTGGCCGTCAAGGTGAAAGATCGAGAGTCCGACGCTTCGGGATTTCCAGCAACGATGTCGGAAAGTAATAAACGACAAAGGGAATACGACATTGCTATGAATGAGTATGTTGCGTCAATGACTGCTGCCGGCGCATCATCTCAGATAGGGTATGAGGAAGGTGTTCTTATGGGGCTGTCAGACGCAGCAATGGCTCCGAGAATGGCCAAAAGAATGAGAGCCGAACAAATTCTTGCCGAATTGAGCTCCTCGTCCTCAGAAGAGACAACTGATACGCAAACTACAGAAACGGAATCTATGGTCACGGACGGAGAACCACGATTGCGATTAAACGATGATATCACTCAAAAGATCGGAAGAAAGAGAAAGCAACGGACACTTGCCGCTGATGATTCGAGCTCCTCTGACTCGGACTCGAGTAGTGACTCGGACGACAGCAGCTCCGAGGACGAATCGACTGCCAATGGTGACAAAACAAATGAATCATCTTCCAGTTCATCTAGCAGTTCGTCTGGTTCGGGTAGTGATGATGAGGGTTCATCCAGTGAAGACGGGTCAAGCAGCAGTGAGAGTGAGGACAGTGAGGACGGCATTCAATAGTGAATAAGAAGTATGCATCACGTACGATCTCTCACGGCGATGGGTAATGGAAGCATGGTCTGAGAGCTATTGTTAATTGGGGACTTACGAATCGCTCACTTCATTGTCCTGTGCCTACCCAACATCAACTGGATAATCGATGAGCCAGTTGACGGAATGGAAGTGCACAAATCGATTCTTGTTCTCCTTTTGGTCGGCCTATAAAGCTTGATTAAAAGGGTAATACATGGTGACCAAGTCTATTAGTGGTAACAGTTCAATCACCATACCGGTATGATACTATAAACTGAGATACCCAAATGAAGAGTCAATAGCATCAAAATACCGTTTATCTCAAGCATTATGCTATTAATGCTTCTTATCAGTAACTTTGTCATTTTGTGATACAAGTTTTTACGTTTTTACGCCTCATATGCAATGATATCTAAATCGGTCCTCGTGATGAAATTCTTTGAAGGGGTCCTTTTAACTCCCCCAACTTATCCACTTATCTCATCCTCAGACCACTCGGTGATTACATAAGCTCAAAATCTATAAACTATTCAATCAGAGGTATGCGGGGTAGGGCAGTATATAAACACTCCCCGAGTTCTGATTGGTAGATTTTATATAATCGTGCATTATACTGTAAACACCACTTATTTTACGGTAATATGATACCAGAGATAACCCCAACGTCATTTTATCCCCCAGTTTCAACACCGAAATATGTACAAGTACAACACCATCTTCTTCACACTTTGAGATTTAAATGAGGGATAAAATAATTAGGGGAACCGGGTATTTCTTCGATATTAAAACATTCACCGCCACTTCTTGGATGTTGAGCGATATACTCGAGTCTCGAGTCTCGAGGATATAGTATCTAATATCAGCGAATCACTCGATTAGGCAGGCCACCGTTCGTGCATTGCATCTCTAAGACCAAATTTGATTTGTATTCAACGACTTAAACGACTCGAACCCCTCACCCCCAATTTATCGGAGAATCTTTTGCTGTCTCTTATCTTGATACCTCTTCAACATTAGACGAGTCCTTTGATGATATATAATACCTGAAGTCGAGGCTGGAACATACATTTGGACTGAAGGAGAGGTGGAATTTAGGAAGGTTGCGAAAGTAATCTTGGGTACTTTTACATCACAATGACGAGAGTTATTGTTTATAGTTTTGCTCTCGCGGCTTTTGTCGCTGGTATGTTATTCTCTATAGCAATTCTTGTCTCTGAAGTCTAGCTAGCCATGGAGTTTCTCTCGTCTTCTTTACCAAAATAAGATAGGATGATAGCTGATCACTTAATATGTATAGCGACAACAATGACCTTCATATCAATATTTATACCCAATTGGATTACATGGGACGTAACGACACCGAGCGGACACCATATAACAAAAACGATAGGACTCCATCGTAGCTATAGTTCGCTCACAGGCCACTCTTCTCATTTCCCTACACTGGAAGACTGTGAGGGGCCAGATAGGGGATTCTGTTCGATGTGGCGATCTGTGGGGTTCTTGATGTCTTTCGCAGCTGTGGTAGAGATGGTTACGTTGGTGGCGTATGTGGTTGTCCTGCTAGGTGGCAAGCAGAAGAGAGAGACGGGCTGGAAGATATTGGTTTTCATGCTGGTGTTGGTGGGTGTGGTTCAAGCGGCTAGTATGAGTATTGTTGTATGTTGTGTTTGGTGTAGTAGAAATAGGGATTAGAGGCGAGATAATACTGACACTTGATAGGCATATCTATATGACCACGATGAACAATTCTTTCCCGGCTGGAAGCTGGATAAGGGATGGATCCTATGCACTGTTAGTTGGTGCATCTCGATTGTGTCGGCTGGATGTATCAACCTCTCCGCATTTGCCTTCGCCCCCGAAGATGGCTACGAACTTATACCAAGTGAACGCCACATAGGAATCTCCGGATAATTCTACTACGAAGTCATACTACAATAATATGGTTGCAACGTTTCGATTCTACTACTCTTGGCGCTCTATACTTCTGGCAATAATATGGAGTGGTCCGTCTCTTACAGGAAGCTTTTATATGGGTGATTCTTCTGCATTTGGAGCATTTTGGGAGCGGTTGTATGAATTAATGCGTACACGACTGATGGATTGGATTGGATTGGATTTAATTAATTTGAGCTAGTGGTCAGAAATTAGGAGTTAGGCTAATGAAAGCATGCTTCAAGCTCTGCTCTTAGTTTTACTTCAATCTTTTGCAATGGATCTCTGATGGCGCCGAGGCTTATCTAAAGAAATCACTAACGTATGCAGCTTCCCGCCGATCACCATACAACGTTACTACTAATCTGAGGAATCAATGGGATTGATTGTAGGTCAATGATTTGTAAAACTAATATGATGAAGATAATAACTCCGGTCCTTCCCTAAAGTAACTGTCTATTGTCTCATTAACATGTTTGCAGCACAATAGAAGTATCCGCCCCTCGGCACTCGTTTTAGATACCGCAGAGATTGGTAAAGTAGGAAGGGAGGTGGGTAGACAGGTAAGTAACACTCCCCAACGGCTACGGAACGGGATATGTGTTGGTATCTATCTCTGGCTCGCTAGCTTTCGGTCACGAATCACGATAACGGGAAGATGGGATAAGATAAGGGGAATGGAAGAGGGAGAAGAGTCCCGAGGTGTACGGGAAAATTCATGGAGGTTGGTACATGTACCGACCGGTAGGTTGTTACATGTACTTGGTGGTGGGTAGAAAATGAGAGGGAGAGGTTAGGGATGGGTGACGTTGGTGTGTAACTTTAATCTATGCTGTGATGCTGTGAAGTTGTGCGAGGTTAGGGGCAGGGGCATGGGCAAGGCAGGGCGAGAGTCTCGCGAGTTGCGACCCGGAGATCAGATGCGTACCTTTTGACGGAAATTCGACATCTACTTTTCTAAGTGTTGTTTTGGGTTGAGGCTTGTGGATATTAGCAAGAGTACCTTTTGGGTTTTGATATATCATGAAGTTTGATTTCAAGGTCAAAATACTAGAATCGATTTGATTGAATGTTGTATCTTCTCTGCCACTTTAGCGGATTTGATGATTTGGTTTATTCTCCCGGTCACGAGTGCGCCTAGGAACTAGGAAAATGAGGTTGGTTGTACAAGATGTTAAACTGGCTAATACGATCTAACTTCTTCTAGCAGGCGCAGAATCCCTACCAATTGCAGCTTGACCGACAGTATCTTGCTTATTTCTGGCAGCCTTGTTTGCTTCGTCGTCACGAGGTTGATGTGTCACCTTATTAATAGTGGTTGTTTGTGATTAGATATTTCTAGATATGACTATGACAAGAATGCAGATGGATCAAAAGCTTTTGAATCATTTTTCTTTTCATTCCAGCTCCGAAATCTATTAGTACTAGTGATAACATATCTGACATCAATCAGGTAGATAGATATCTTACTAGAGTACAGTGAACGGAGAAGACACCAATAATCCACCACCAACATGCCGACCAACTTCCTCAGCCTTCCCAGAGAACTCCGCAACAGCATATATGAGCTACTCTTAGTATTCGAAGAATCCATCAGAATGAACAATCATTTAACACCTCAGAAGCTCCAAGATTTTACTCCGGGGCTCCTCCGCGCAAACAAGATTATTCATAGCGAAGCCAGCTTTATACTCTATGCACAGAATCGCTTTACCCTATACGACAGCTCTGAGTCATTCTTCGAGAAGATTGGCCGTAACAATGCAAGTTCCATCCTATACATATGTATCGACTTTCCTAGATTCGATTATCGGATTCTTCATGGCACTACCCTTCGGGATCCCAGCTCTCAGCTGCTCGCGAAAATACAGAGTGACTGCACCAATATACAGACGCTTCAAACGTCTCTAGAAACTACCGTTGAGATGGAGCATAGGTTCGCTAAGTTTGATAATTTCAATATTGGTGCGGGGGCCTTGGCGCTGGCCGATGCACACTTCAGAGGCATTGCATCCCTACAAGATATTATCGTCGAGGTTTACAAGGAGGGCCCGAGTGCTTTGATACGAAAGGAAATGGAGAGCCATGGATGGACGATTAACACAAGGGAATTTGTGGAGGAGTTGGATGTCGAAAATGGGGTTTTCATGAACGTGAAAGAGTATTATGAATCTCTAGATCATCATGAATATCAACGTCATGATGATAGTGGTTTTTGAAGAAGGGCGGCGGACTGAACTGATAACGAGGCAGGAGGTATTTCATCACCGTTTTCTCGTTACCGTATACAAACACCACTAACACCTTATTGTACAGTACTAGGCGACGAGAGACTGCGTGATTGATGTCGACCGACACGGCCCATGTTGGAGAACAGGATAGTGACTTTCATCCTTCCTGCAGCAATCTTATCCTCGGCAACCTCCACTGTCCTATAACTCTCAGTCTTTACAACTACAGAACTTTTATCATTCCAATCACCTTTTCCTATGGCATCACTACTTCTTCGCAGTTTCTTTTGCAGTAAAATTTCCTTGTACCTCGAATATTTTTGATATGTCGCTTTCCTTGGCAATCAACGTTTACTTGCTTCATTATCGTTCACGTTCAATCTTATTTGAACAAAAACAAAAGTGGATCTTGATATCATAAAAACCTATTCGGTGAAGAATCTCTGGGTATCCAACAATGTCAGGAGAAACGGTTGGGTGGGTGCCTTCACTTCTCAGAAGTATTTTGCGCCATTCATGCTTTTCATTATTCTGTAGGGGGTTTTCAAGGTCTGTACTGGCTAGGATATTGATAGGGGGGAGACCGGTCATGGCGAGCGTAAAGGTCAAGGCTTCGTTGTTGAATGCAGGAACACAGATACAGATTTAGACCAAAGCTAGTATTGGCAAGTCCATTGTAGATGATAGTTTCAATATCAGTTTTGATTGAACCTAACACAGAGCAAAGTGCTAACTAACAATCACTGCACTGTGCCTTCCTCACAATCATTACTTTTGTATAGACTCGAATAGCATAACATATTGTCATCAGATCAGCCAATATAGAACTAACAATGACAAGAACATAACCCTTACTGTACGGATTGATGAAATTGGATTTAATTCCTGGGGGAGGAGTCAATGACTCAAGGCTGAGAGCGCCGCGAGAACCTGTGAAGATGGAGACTTAAGGACGGTATCCCAATGAGGATGATCTGAATGAACCATCTTTTCGCTAAAGAGTACTGCTACAATACACACAAGTGGAATTCGCCGAGAAAGCTTTTATCATGTCTGGACTAGATCATATTTTGAAAAGTGAAAAGTGGAAAATCAGTCAAGAGGCCGGGGAACTTCGTAATATATAATAGGATGTTACATCTACTACAAATAATAGGTATAAGCAGAGGTTACAATACAGCAATTGCCACGATCCGCGAGCAGCTCATGGTCGATCTTGGATCATATATACATTCTTTCGTTAAGATCAAAGTTCAAACCCCTGCAAGGAAGACTTGACTTAGGAAATGGGCATACCGCACTGGAATTATGTATATTGTCGCTACCATGAGTAGTACAGTAGGTAACAAAAGCTTATATATCTGAGGAACTCAGTCAAGGAAGACCTTTGTATATCCACGATCCTTCACCACATGGCCAAATGAACCAAGGAAGACTCACGATCATATCTTAAATGCATTACTAATAGCAGACCAACTGCTAGCCAATTTCAAAACTATATCAACACGGATTGTTCCTCGGTTCGAGTACTTGCCGCATATCCATCTTTGACAACCCAAGAAATGCCACATGTAGAAGCTTCGAATACTACACGAAGAATGTTCTCAAGGTTCCATTCAAGGCTTCGAGAATAATCGGAATCCTTAATGGAATGATCAAAAGTCAAAGAATTAGAGACTAGTTGTCTGTATAGGGAAGGGCAGACCCGGCAGAGAATCTATGTCAGAGAGTATTGTACGGGTAAATCGGACATATTTCTTCCAGAGTCAAATGATTCGGTTTTCTTTCATGGCTTCAGGACTAGCTGGCGCAAATCGAATCGAGGCCCAGAGTTTGCGTTTGAAGTCCAACTATGGCCCTTCTTGAATCGGTATAAATGGCTACTCGATTGGACTAATCGAACAAAGGAAAAAGCATCATATATATATATATATTCAAGTAGCATTAAAAGTGCCAGTTCAAAAGCAACTGTGCTTGAGAAATGCTGCTCTTTGGGTATTTGTAAGTGCCAATCAGCATCCACTTAATGCCCCGCCTCGCCAATTTCAACCCCTGTTCTTTCTGCCACGAAGTTTACAGATTCTTTTGCACAAGACTCCCCACATACTTTTTCATTGCAATATATTATTAAATAGTTGCCCCTTTTCACAACAACAAATCAATAACCAAGCTGCTGTGGCCGAGTGGTCTAAGGCGATGGTTTTAAGAAGCTTCATGAGAAGCTGATTTCACCATTATCGAAAGATGCGAGGGTTCGAACCCCTCCGGCAGCATTGAATTTTTGGTTATTCTCCAAACTTTTGGTACATTGGGAATTTTTCTTTTCTTTTGGATTATTGGGATAATGTTTTTGTTTGCTACTTCTTCCTCCAAGGCCGATTGATTGAATGGCCCTTAACATCTAATAAGTTATTCGGGCAATCCCGACGAAATTCGGCTTCGGCTTATCAGTGAGGGGTTATCCGATAAGGAAATCCATCTCCTCAAATGTCAAATCCTCACTACCACGTTCCCATCTCGCACATAACAATAGCCATCCCCCTCAAACAATCAAATATGTCACCCTCTAGTAAATCACCCCCTCCTGCAGTTTCTAAGGGTCTCACAAAAGAGCAACTCGACACCTTTAGCAAAGATGGCTACTTAATAATCCCAGGCGCCCTCCCCCCCGAAACAGTTTCCTCCCTCCTCTCCGAAACACATTCTATGCTAAATGATTTCTCGCTGGAAGACCACCCTATGACGAAATTTAGTACGGGGGAAAGAGAAGATATTGAACATGTAGGGGATAGCTATTTTCTGGAGAGTGGTGATAAGATTCGATTTTTCTTTGAAGAGGGTACGTTTACTTTGCATCAACAACTCTCAAGGGTTGAAAATTCCTAGATAAAGTAAAACCATAGTATTCAACTAACCGCAACCCCAGATGCCCTTTCCCCCACCGGCGCCCTCCTCAAACCCAAACACCTCTCTATCAACAAAATCGGACACGCCCTACACACGCTCTCCCCCCCTTTCGCTGCACTCCTCTCTCCCCACTCCACGCACTCCCCCTCCCTCATCGCGCACTCCCTTGGGTTCCAACAACCCCAATGCCTACAATCGATGATCATCTGCAAGAACCCGGAGATCGGAGGCGCCGTCCCTCCCCATCAGGATAGCACATTTCTATATACGGATCCGCCGAGCGCAGTGGGTTTCTGGTATGCGCTGGAGGATGCGACGCGGGAGAATGGGTGTTTGGGGTTTTGGCCGGGAAGTCATCGATGGGAGGGGGTGGGGAGGAGGTTTGTGAGGAGGAGTGAGGGGGAGGGGGGTGGGACGGAGTTTGTGGAGAATGAGGGGGCGAGGTTTCCGGTGGGGTTGGAGGTGAGGGAGAAAGAGGGGAAGGGGGAGGGAGAGGAGAAGGAAAAGGAAAACTATGTTTTGGGGGAAGTCAAGGCGGGGGATTTGGTGCTGATTCATGGAAATTTATTGCATAAGAGTGAAAGGAATACGAGTGCGAAGGGGAGGATTATTTACACATTTCATGTTATCGAAGGAGAGGGGGCAGTGTATGATGAGAGAAATTGGTTGCAACCTCCTGAAGGGGGATTTACTAGATTGTAGATTGGAGAATCAAATGGGAATATTGTGAGATATTGTCCTATGCTTGTCTTAATTGTGTTCATTTTACACTGTGTATGCTCACTCCTAAACCAGGATATCCAAATATCCGTACTAGTACTCGAGTACTGTATAGCAATCCGATATGCGACATTGAAGGTTGCAATATTCGAAAATTTCTCCTTTCACAAGCGAGTAAGTACTCACACATACCCCAACGGCAATTCTTATTCCAAGTAAATCCAATATACAATATAGCTTCAATCATGGATCAAAACCGACTTACTCACTTACTCATTTACTCACTCACTCATGATTGGTTAATATACTCGAGTATACTCGAGTATAGTTTGAACTACATACAGTACCCGTATTAGAAACTCTGTATGAGGAGATTAGTATATTGTTGTGCTATGTTTGTGATGTGAGATATGGGATATGGGATATGAAATGTGTATGCGTGGTTGCATCTTGGAGTGCGTGATAGGACTGTGATAGGAATAGGAATAGGAATAGGATTGGGGTTAGGGGGTTAGGGGGTTAGGGGGTTAGGGTGGTGAATAAGAGGTATATGTTGTTTGAGTGGATGGATGGATGGAATGGATGGAATGGAGTACTGGCGAATTTGGCTGTTTCGCGTGGATTTACTCGAGTATTTTGATTAAGAAGGGAAGGGAAGGGAAGGGAAGGAGAAGAGAGAGAAAGAGAAGGAGGAGAAGAAGGAGAAGAAGAAAAGCCTGTGAGTGGATATGTGGATATTGGACTATTTAATGGAAAGTGAAGAGCCATGTGAGGGGAAAGAAGGACTGGCTGAAATTATGGACGTTGTGGACGTTTTGAAGATTATGGAAGCTGAAGTTGATGAAGGGGGAAGTGGAAGTGGAAGTGGAAGTGGAAGAAGCGGAATCAAGATGGTGAGATATGGTAGGATTACTTAAAAAGTGGGTAGGCAATTCTTCAGTACTAGATAGAAAATAAGTACAGTGGAGGGATACCTAGGTATTGTAGATATGGGGGTTCAAAATAACATTACAGTTAATTGGGACATCTCGCCGGGGTAAAAGATACCTCTCTGGAATCGAACTCAACACATTGATGATGAAGTGAAGGATGTAGAAGTAACTCTTTTTGGAGATAAACTTTCTGTGTGTGATGAATATAGTTCATAATGATAGCTCCTAGCAGTCTTATCCTAGAAGAAAAAAAGTCACGACATGGAATCTATAGCTTTTGAGACGGTACTTTGTAAAGCACAATGCGAATACATTGGTTACATATTTTCCCAAAATCATAGTTTGTGCATGTGTAATGTCCGAACAAGGTAAAAGCCTAGTGATATGCATTCGTAATCATATTCAAACCCAGGTGCCACTCTCATTACAGGATTCCTGAGGTGGACTGGACCCCAAAACTGGGTATGAATCAGATACCCCTTCGCCTAATTTCGCGCTGGAAGTTCTCGACATCCAGACCCGTAATATTTTCTTTGATCTCCTCGATCCGTGCACGAACCATCTTTGTAAACATCTGCCGATTGATGCATCCCTTGCCAGGCTCTATTGCTCCCTGTATGTCACCAAAATCCTCCCCTTCGCACCAAGTAAGAATCTCGATTTTGGAAATATTGTTCAGCAGGTCTCGGATGTTTATTCCGCTATATGGCGGTGAAGGAAATGGCCAACATCGATTTACTGCAAGACTTTTTAGAAAGGAGCCGGTGGTCATGAAGCCGCATACGTCAGATTGATCGTTGCAATATGATGCAAGCTCAATTTTTCGTTCCAGAAAATTGTGCAGTGCAGCGAATACATCGGAGGGAATTTGTATACGGGCTTTTTTAATTGCATCTGAGATTTAGTTAGTAGGGGGAAGCAGCCTTCCATTCTTGCTAAACATACTGATGATTGAGCGGGGAAGACGATGTTGTGATTTTATATCACTACCGAAATTCTCATTGCTGAGCCAGATTGCTTCTAGTGTAAGATTGGCAAACATGGGGGCATTGCGAAATGCCAACGATATGAAGAGGAACGTGTAGAGGGATCCTCTATATTTATACCATCCATCTAGGCGAGACAACCAGGAGGTTGAGACCCATCGCATGGTCTCGGATAACTGGTTCTTATCCGTGAGAATAGCCACTTCAGTCAATAACGGAAGAGCGATCTCCTCGGGCACTAGTTTGTTTATGTGGTGGATGACATTGAGTACAATTGCAAGAGCAACGGGATCGTCGTCAGGCAACTCAATCTCGACTTTGCCCTGGGCGAGCAGTTCGACTCCTTCTTTGAATCTGCCATCACCGAGCATGATCTCGAAGACGGGCGATGCAAGCGTTAAATGCTTTGAAGAAACAAGCATAGTAACGTTCTTGGAAACATCGTCGGGACTAAAAAACATTGTTAGCTTGGATATTCAAAGATCGAGTTTGGGGGCTGCGTACGATTTTCTTTTCGACGATCCCGACTCGTTGGGTACGTCTTTGCCTTTTTCTTTGCCCTCCGGGTGTCGAGTTAAGATGAGGAGGACGTCGCCTTTGGTGTCAAAGACCAATTCTTCAAGTGCTTCGGGTGCGTCCGATGTCATTGTGCTTGGATTCATGTTTGGTGTTGATTGGAAGTTAGGAGTAGTTGATAGATAGAGGGTCTGAATCTTGAGAAACCGGAAAATTTGGGGATTGAAGGTTGAAGTAAAGTTTGGTTTGGCTTTGATATGTTGTTGTTAGCAAGGAAGGTATTCTCTTACAGGAAATCAAGAGCCTTATGAATGTATTGAGGAACTGGCGTTAAGCGCTAGTACGGCATGCACTTCAGCTAAATGCTACGGCCCTTATTGATCATTCCTACCGTATGCCATAAGTGTACCGAGGGACTAGCGTTCAGTGCTAAGCGCGAGTACCGTATACACTTCGGCTAAACGCTGCGGCCTTCATTGATCATTCGTACCGTATGTCGTTATCCCGACAGTTATTGATATTCGTGCGGGCTGCAGAGAGACGTTGCAAAGTAGTCCATAGGCGAAATATGAAAGGAATTGGAGTTTTGAAGAGAACTAAGATTGATATGAATATGGTATTGGTGGTTGTTGAGGTTAGAGGTGTTGAGAAGATGTAATCTGAATTTGAGGACTTGTGAAGCAATTTTAGTCCTACCATCATTCTGAGGTTTCCTCGTCTCGTAGAGACTTGTACAGTAAACTACTATGAGTTTCCATGCGAAGGGCCGATCTGCCGGATTCATAGTTTTCGGGATAGAGTTGAATCCGAAAACTATGTATACGGTTAGAACAGAAATATTCCTATCATTCATTGCCTTTGTATGGACTATAATAGTAGTTTGCTGTAAGATTCGTTACGCTCCGTCGTAAAGAGCGACAACTAGATCAAGAATGTCCACCGTACCAATTGTCGAGAGCTATTAGCCTAGCGATCTGCCAAGGTATATTCACTTGAATGAACTAATAATGTTTTTAAGTCCGGAAAACTGAGTCATTGAGAAGAGGTATGATTTGGTTGAGATATAAATGGATGGGAGTCAAATGGAATGGGATAGCAGTAGTGAAGTGTAGGTGGATAATTAGTGTTTGAGTGAATTTCTCGTCCATAGTACTCTCTCAGGAATGTCAAACTATGCAGAAGGCAGGAGGGACAACTGTGCCATATCCAGATTATCCGACTTCATGTTCACCCTCATCGGTAGCTTGATCTCCCCCTGAACTCTCTTCCCCTTTTGAAAATCCTCCATCTCTAATCCACACAATCTCTTCTCAATATTTGCCAATTCAGTATCAATAGCCTGTTTGACACCGTGCGTAGACCAATGATGATACTCATAGCTTTTGAATGGTGATATCTTATCACAAAGAGCGACAACTTCTACCTTGCGAATTTGGTTGATTACATGATTAAATGTGAGGTCTGTGTCTGTGAGATCTGGTACGGGGAATATGCCTAATTTTGTGGAACTTTGGAGGAGGGTTCCTAGAACCATGCCACTACATTCGAAAGCGTCTTCACGGGGTGCGGTACAGTGATGTTTGCCGGTATTGATTATGTTTTCTACTGTAGAATATGCGTCGGTTATTGCGGTTAATCGACGTTTTTGAATGGCATCTTCACTAGCGTCAGTCATGTGTTCGAGACTTCAGGAGAAAGAACTTTCTTACCCACGACTCGATTTGGAATTGGAATATCATGTCGGTCTTCACCAATTTTGCCATTACTTTGTCGTTCTGCAATTCTAGTAACTTCCTTGAAGATATCTGATTTTTCAAATACCCAAGAAATACTGAGCCACGGAAGTAAATCATCCATATGAACCTCCAGCAATTGAGGTTCAAGCAAGGATATCCATCTATCAGACATTATTTCAACCACCTCATGTAATTGATACTTATCGACCAAAGTAGAGATCCTCGACAGCACATCTAAATCCACGTCCCGAGGAATACTCCTGGTACGACCATGGATAACACACATCAAGATAGCAAAAGCATCAGGGTCATCATCAGGAAGGGGAATCTTAACCTTGCCAGCAGAGGCTAGTTCTCGACCTTCTGGGAAATTATTGCGTTGAAGCATGGCCTTGAATACAGGAGAAGCAAGGCTCATGTGTTTGGATGAGACTAACATGAGTACATCTTCTCCAACAACGCTTGGTGCATTGGTTGAGAGAATTCCTTCCGAGTAGTCTTCTTTTGGTGATGGTTCTGCTAATTCTCCTAAAGCTGCTCCCTCATCTGTGTCTTCCCGCTTTGGTTCTTGTGTAAGAAGTAGCAACAAATCTCCATCGGGATCATATGTATTAAACATCTTGTTCAATTGCTGTTAAGTATAAATCCGTGTTGTTGTTTCCAATTCGATATAAGGCTGGCGCTTTCCTGGTCCAATTGTGGCTGACATTTAACTAATGTGGCAGGGCTAACCCCACTAATTTACACCCTTCAGCCTTGTTTCATCGTGGTCGCTCCTTACCTCCTTACCCTCTACCCCTCTACTAGTACCCTCAAGGTTCTCGAAATCGTGAACTTGTACAAGTAAACCTCCCTCCCGCCCTTTGTACTCCGTAAACTACTTTGATTCATTAAGCTCCCTTTCACATCTTCGGAGTTTATCGATACTAGGTATACTTGGTTAGTATCGAAGTCCACATAAGACAAAATGTCTATCGTTATTGACAAGATCCTTGCTGCTTCCCCCACCACTAATCGTGGTCGTCCTACACAACTCAGTTGTGACCCAAAGGGGGAACGTATTGCTTATGCCGTGCGTATATATTTCTATTCCCAAATTTATAAGTACTGACTTTTCATTTCTAGTCTGGCAAGTCCGTCTTCGTTCGTAATATCGATGATCCTTCACTAAATAAACAATACGCATCTCACACAACCCAAACTACCGTTGCACGATTCTCTCCTTCCGGTTACTATATTGCTAGTGGTGATGTCTCTGGAACTGTCAAAGTCTGGGACTCTATAGAAGGAGTCAATACCAAAGGAGATTACCATATCATAAACGGCAGAATCAATGATATTGCATGGGATGGAGATTCTCAACGTATAATTGCAGTGGGAGATGGTCGAGAACGCTACGGAGCTTGCATAACTGCAGATAGTGGGAATACCGTGGGTGAAATCGTTGGCCACACGGCAGTCATCAATTCTGTTGCAATTCGCCAGCAACGACCATTGAGAGCTGCTACTGGTTCGGATGACAGTAGCATGGTGTTCCTCCACGGAGCCCCTTTCAAATTCAATGCTAAATTGGGAGAGCTTCACAAAGGCTATATTTATGGGGTAGGATTCTCGCCGGACGGAAACCACCTAGTGAGTGTGGGTGCGGATCGCAAAATTCAATTATATGACGGAAAGACTGGTGATACCACGGCACACTTTGGAGAGAAAGAACACACAGGAAGTATATTCAGCGTCTCGTGGGCGAAAGACTCGAAGAGATTAGTCACGGCCAGCGCTGACCAGACAGTTAAATTATGGGACGTTGAAGCTGGTAAGGTTGTTCAAACTTGGAGATTCGGTGAAGAAGGACATGTCAGCATTCCTGATCACCAGGTTGGTGTCGTATGGCCTTCTCGTAGTGACGGAATGATCATCAGTTTGAATCTAGCTGGAGATTTGAACTATCTGGCCGAAGGAATGGATAGATCAACCAGGATTGTTCAGGGGCATGGTAAAGCCATTACTGCCATTGGCTCAAGCCACACGGAGAAAGGTCAAACATTGTGGACAGGGAGTTTCGATGGTCGGGTCTGCTCTTGGGATGTTGGTACTGGTATCGGCTCTGCCACCGAAGGCTCTTCGCATACCAATCAAGTATCAAGCTGGGCGAGCGCTGGAGATAAATCCTATAGTGTTGCCTGGGATGATACTTTACGAACTATCGATATTCCTGGGAACCATTTCGTTGGTGGGGCAGCCAAGTTGAATGGACAACCCAAGGGAGTAGCAGCCGTGGGCAATAAATTATACGTTGCTACCACAAACGGTATCGACATTTTCTCCAAAGATAGCCTTGTGGATACAGTGATAACAAAGGACTTCACACCGACATCTGTATCAGCGAACGAAAACAGTGTAGCAGTGGGAGACGAGAGCAACGTTGTGCATATCTACACGGTTGATGGAAACAGTCTGTCCCCCAAAACAGAACTCACAAATTCGCTAGCCCAGATCTCCGCATTAGAATTCTCACCTAGTGGGGATCTTCTCGCAGCAGGAAACTCGTCGGGAAAGATCTATGTTTATGATACAACTAGTTGGGAAATTAAGACGGATAGGTGGAGTGGCCATGCGGCAAGAGTTACCAGCATTGGTGAGTTATCTATTTCCTTCACAATGTCTTATATAACATGCCCAAAGCTCAATCGGACCTTTGGCCCAATCCAATTTTCCACACCGCACAACTAATATTTCTGTGCAGATTGGAATCAGGCCGGAACCCAGGCTGTCAGTGGCAGTCTCGATACTAATATCTTCGTTTGGAGTCTCGCCTCACCCGGAAAGAGGGTCAAGGCTCCTAACGCGCATAAAGATGGCGTTACTGGTGTTCGTTGGATTGATGGCGGGAAGAAGGTTGCTTCGGTGGGTGGAGATGCTTCTTTGAAGGTTTGGGATGTTGCGGGGTTAACTTAAACACGCTTTATCGAAAGGGTAGTGAGCGATGCGCTTATGCATATTCCCTCTCGCGATGATGCAGGATTTTTGAGCGTAGTACAAGTAAGATATCAAGTGAAAGCATTTTTGGGCGCTAAATATCAATATAGGTTCTATTGAGAGTCTGGAAAAGTATTCATTAGTGAAGGTAAACAAAAAAATTGCAATACAATTTTGAAGATCTCAATCGGCTTAACTTTTGCTGTGACGTGGAATCTAATCTCATCACAGTATCTCCACATAATATGTAAAATTCCAATGATTCGCGCAAACATGCAAGCTTTTGCCAACACGAGGAAGCTCCCGTTACAGCCAAGAAGCTATAGCCAAGTAAACCACACCAGGGTCCAAACAACAAAAGACAGATCATCGTCGCACAGTAAAGCAAACGGGTAGAAATCTAGGTTCTAGAATTAATCCCCCCTTAAAAAATCCTTGGCATAGGTAATATTGTATCTCGAAAGTGGCTCAAAATGCACTATTTCCCGGTTTTGACAACTCCTAGAAAGATATTTTGCGAAAATGCGGGATGTGTGGCTAATTAGGGCTGACGTCATCATCGGTTTGGATAGATTTACCAATCAGAAGAGGTAAGTGGGCTGATCTTTGCGGCTTCTCTTCATGTTTATTTCCACTAGTGCATTATTGGGAGTTAGTTAGGGATCATTTTGATGCTGCAGGTGTAACATATAATTTGGAAAAAAAAAAAACTGGTAATTCATGGGATTCGTGGGTTGTCCCTTTATTGGTAACTTGATATCACAAGAAAAACCAAGGTGAAATCTTAAATAGTTCCACCAAGGGTGAATTCAGGGAAAGGTATTAAAGTTTGATATTCTCCCGCTAAAGACTTGCGTTTCTTGTGATATCTTCCTCCTCTTCAATAATAATTATTCTCATCGTTTAGAGTTTTCGTCGCTCTTCAATTCGTTGAGTCACTTTCTCAACTTCACATTCATCTATAGATCGAAGTCGAAGACGCGTTCTATACCACCAACTGATAGATATCTAATTCAAGATGGGCATGTTCTCACGCAAACACCAGGAGCCTGTTACAACTGGACCTGAAGCCAATGTAGCTACTACTCATGAGACAAAACGTCATGGTAAAGGACCAACTGTTCTATCAATGAGTAAACGTCCAAGTTTCGGTCAGTGGCTTAAAGTTACTTGGCTCGATATCGTTACTATGGCTGCTATGGGTGCTGTTGGGCTTGGTGTTTATGAAGCTCATCCGGCTCCATCTCGATCTTTCCCAGTTTACTTTCAAGATGGAGAGGTTGTCTACCCTCAATTTGCATACGTGAGTACAAACTTCCATATCAATTGTCATACTGATTGATGATAATATTGCAACCAAAATTTAACATACATCCATCCAGCCTCTCCGCAACGAAATCGTTCCGATCTGGGAAGCCGCACTCCTCGCATCTCTCGTTCCCATCGCCGCATTCCTTATTGTCCAAATCCGCGTTCGCTCTTTCTGGGACATGAACAATGCCGTAATTGGCCTCCTCTACTCCCTCATTGCCGCCGCCGTCTTCCAAGTCTTTCTCAAATGGCTCATCGGTGGACTTCGTCCTCATTTCCTCGCCGTCTGCAAACCCAATATCCCTGTCACTGCTCAACAGGAAACAGGAAATGGTCTCAACTACATCATGTACGATCGTAAAATCTGCACTGGAGATGAAGACGAAATCGACGACTCTCTCGAATCCTTCCCATCCGGCCACTCCACTGCTGCTTTTGCCGGTTTCGTTTTCTTATACTTGTATCTCAATGCCAAGCTCAAGGTCTGGTCAAACTATCATCCGGCCATGTGGAAACTCATCGTCATATACGCACCCATTCTCGGCGCCACACTGATCGCAGGTGCACTCACCATCGACGAATATCACAATTGGTATGATTGTGTCGCCGGTGCCATCATCGGAACCGTCATGGCTTTTTCCGCGTACCGAATGGTCTATGCATCGATTTGGGACTGGAGAACTAATCACATCCCATTGAACCGCTCGATTCCATTCCCGGGTATGGGCGCGGGTGCGGAACTAGAGGATGCGACGTTTACGAGACAGGCTGGATGGGGCACCGATGGCTATGGTGCGGGTGGGTTTGGTGGTAAGGGTGCATATGATCATGGTCATGGTCATGGTCATGGGTTTGGTCATCATAATGGTCTTGGTATGAATGAGGGAATGGTTCACGGAGGAGATATCCGAAATAAGGAATACTCTAATGCTGCTGGTATTGGTCGCAAACCTGTAAACACAGGTGTGGTGGGTGCGGGTGTGGGCCATCACAACGGCGATACTGCGAACATTGTCTAGGCAGCAAGACTTTGAAGTGTACAAGCAAACTCTATGCGAGCGTTTCAGCATAATATGGTATGGACGGACGGTCTGGCGTTACTAATGGATGGATGGAAGGAAGGAGATGATACCAGCTTATATTGCATTAGGCTTTTGCTTTTACATTCGATAATTACTTATTTTAATTTTTAATAAAAATAATTGTAATTTAAATACGAGTATACCTCACATTTTACACAACTCTCATGAATTTTCCTCTATATAGGACTCTTCTATTTCTATCTTTATTGTACTTTTGTTCATATAAGTACAAATATATACTTCGAGCTTGTTGGAGTTCTAAGATATTCTTCTTCTTGAACTTCTTAAACTTGTTAATCTCATTATCTTTGATTAGGAAAGAACGCCTTTTATGTTGTATTGTGTTGTATTGTATTATATACTTAGAGACTCGGAGTAGAATAGCATCTTATGTTATATATATATATAAGTAAGCGAGTGTCTATATTCTTGATTATTTGATTTATTTGAAATGTTTATATATTTTCTCCTTATCTTTTCTCTTCTCTATTCTTTTTTTTAGTAAGATATAAATTATAAAATATAGAAGAGAAAGAGAAAAAGAGATAGAAAGAGAGATGATTACTTTATAGAGTAGAATTGAAGTTAGGAATTAATAATCAATAATTAATAAATAATAATTGAGGTTTGATATTTGAGAAAAAAGAAACAGGAAGAGGAAGAAAAGAAGAAATGGAATTTTCCTCGGATAATTATTGCTTGATTATCTAAGATACTGATGTAATATCTAAATTTCGAGGATGAGGGGAATGAAAAGGGGAAGGGAAATGGGAGGGGAACCTGCTTGAGATTTTATATGTGTTGTGTTGGATTAGATTGTTTGTATGTTATTGTGGGAAGGGAGTGAGATTTGGAGTTTTGAAAACGGGAGTGAAATGTGGGAGTGGGATGTAGGAGTGGGATGTTATATGAGGTGAGGTGAGATGGGATGGGATGAGATGAGATAAGATGAGATAGGATGTATATCTATTCAATAATAGGTTTGGTATTGTATGGATTTGAGTCGAGGGGGATGAGAATTGAGAGATGGAAGATGGAGGGGGGGGTGAATACTATTGGTACGGATATTTGGGACAGGATGGGATGAGATGAAGTAAAATAGACTGAGAGCGGAAAGAGGCAGGCGCCACTATATCATAATGGAACGAGTTCACATTGAGGAATAATAATATTGACTGTGACCCATTCATCAATGTCGTCGAAGATGTGGTTTATTAATGGTATATTCATCATCATATATCAACACACCAACGCCACAAGCAGCCTATCTGCTTCCATCCATCCATCCATCCATCCATCCATCCTTCCTTCCGTCATTAGTATTCGTATCAAACTGCCCTACTATGCCATAACATGCCATACGATGCCACACAAGAAAAGTCCATGGAAATACAATACGCCTCACTTTATCCACCTATCGACTCATATTTCTAGTACCGAATATCAAACATCGCTATTATCTTTCTCTCACACTTCCCTCTCCAGATCTTCCTTCCCTGGCCTTTCCTTTTCCCTTTTCCCTTTCTCTTTCCCTTTCTTTATCCCTCTCCTTTTCTCGGTTACTCTTCTTTCTAACACCTGTATACACATCATTAAAATTCATCACCACACCCAAGAACCTCATATCAGTATCCGGCTGATATGCCAAATCTCCTAGTAACAGTGAAATTCTGGTTTTGAACTGCATTCCCAAACCACTTAATCTTTCGGTGAGTAAGGGGAATTCTTCTTCTTCGCCTTGGATATTCGACAGATTGAGGTTTAGCAGTGCAGGATTGGGGTTTTCGAATGGAGATTTAGGGGGAGGATAATCGTCGAAGCGAGTTCCGGGCCGAGAGGAGGTGGTTGTGCCTGGTGGGACAATGGAGGGAGAGTTGGCGCTCTGACGTTTAGAGTATTCGGTTACGCTGAAGGAATAGAGGCCATCAACTGCATCACGATATGAGAGCATTAATCTAAGAATCTCGCCTAGCTGAACCATGAAAGTATTATCATCAAGGTCATTGGAATGCTTTTTCTTGGCACCTAGCAGCCCCTTGTGCGTAATGGAATTGAGATATCTAGTATGCGCCTTGATGAGATCATCGAGTGTGCAGCCATCTTTGTGTATCGCAGATTGAAGTTCATCCCAAGAGGACTCAATCACCTCGAAGAGGATATAGTATTGGAGTTGTGCGATGAAATGAATCATCTCTGCGAGGACACCACGAGTTTGCTTCCACGATTGATGGAAGGCTGGATCGGGAGATCCAAGGAGGACGCCGCGGGCGCCAGTCATACATTTGCGCCAGGTGGTAGAAAGGGCAAATTCGACGCGTTTAATACGCCATAAAAAGTTGAAGACTTTGAGATATTGGCGGTTGCCCCATTCGGTGACGACGACATCAACAGGGGCATCGATTTTATATTCAAGGGTGAAACAATCCCAACCTATATCACCATGTGAGAGTTGCAACATGCGAGCATCGAGACGGCGGAGAACTTCGGGGGAGTCATATTGGGCATTAGAGCCACGGATAGCGTGCTCAAGTTGAGCAGTGAGAGTGTGTCGGTATTGGGCACCGGCGGGACGATCGAGATTTGATGCGAGAGATTCCATGAGTAAAGCAATGAAATCTCCTTGTCCTAGAAGTATATAGTTCTTGAGAGCCTTGAGATGGTCGAATAGATGGAATTTCTCCGACATTAGGTGGGTTAGTCGAGCCATAGTCGTCTTATAGGCTTCATCAATCCATGTCTCCAGTGTTGCGGTGTCACCATACCGTAGTTCTTTTGAAGCATCTTTTGAGTACTCTTCTACCCATTGAGAATCTCCGCAACCATAGCGAATGAAGTTCAAAGATTTTCCGATTAGAAAGACCTTTTGAGCAAAATCCTGAGTAATGATACTCGGTACCATATTTTCATTAAGTTTGTATTTGTCTTCCCATACACTACTAGCACCTCCACGACTTCTACCATCTTGGGCCTCTTGAATCACATTGGGATCTTGTTCTGATACAAAAAATTCATGATAAGGATCAGATAATTCCCCGTCATATATCCAATGGCGAAGCATATCGTAAAAAGGCCGAGTAACATGAATCAATAAGCGTTCGGCAAAAGCTCCTACCATTGGATCCCCATGCGACGACGAGAATCCATGGATTAACGTAATGAGTTGACCGCCCTTTTTACTTTTCGATTCTTCACTTATTAAACTCATCAACCTCAAGCCCATCGTCGCTTCTCGGGTCCATACTACACATCTCTTCAAAGTGACTCCGGCCTTTCCAATTCCTCCTCTAGGCTCATTTTCGTCTAGTGATGAAAGTGCTCGTCGAATTTGACCTTCTAACGTCGCTACAAGCCCAAGATATGACCTAAGCTCGCCGGCAATAGCGGCTCGTAGACTTTGTCCGAGTAGACCACCGTCGCTGGTCTGCACAAACCCTGACAGACTTCTGTAGAGTAACGATGGCTCAGCCAGTGTATGGAGGATCGAGATTATGGGTACGGGTAAAGTATCTGGTAGTCTGAGGCTCGACTTAGAATCAAATGGCAAATTTGATGAAGATAGGCCTTGCAATGTAAACGGTAAGTCCCTCAGTAATGCGGTTTCCGGTGGATCAATTTCGACATAGTTTTCCGCCAGCAGAGCCGTCTTTAATGCGACACCCTCACGTTGGCTGATTGGTGTCTTGACAAACACCTGCTCTTCTTCTCTTCTGTCTCTCTGGCCCCCTTCTCGTTCCGGCAATTTCTTTAACCCGGTAGGCGCAAAAGCATCGTCGAATTCTCTCTCCTCTCGCGATGTTTGACTTTGGGAATCAAAAGTGCCATCTGTTTGGAAATTTCGACGTGTGTCTCTGAGAGGAGCAGCACTCGCAGTGTCTTGAACTTCGATGTTTTTATTTGATTTCTTTTTTTTTATCGGACTCATAAAAGGGCTCGTCAATCCAGAAGGTCTAAGCTGCTCTCGATCTCCTAGCTGGTATAGAAAGTAAAGCACTGCCCATTTTTGTGTAATGACCGGTATAGAAAGGAGTCGGCTATAAAGGTTCGTAAATCGTAGAGCTTCATTTGGGCTCGGGTTTGTTTGTATTAATCGTTTCTTTATTAAATCTGAAGCTTGGTTTACATCTGCAACAACAGCCGGAGTTCTTGAACTACATAAATTGCCAAATCAGCATTCCATCATACCGCGCATAGTCTCCAAAGCAAATACCTCTTTAAGATCTCCCGTACAAAGTCGACAGCATAGCTTTCCCTTTCCTCCGCATCTGCAGGGTCTTCTCCAGGTATATCAACCTGAAATCGGCGCACTAAGCTATCAATAGCAGTGGAGATACGAGTACTTCGTGAGGACATGATTGCATCGTTGCGATAATTGAATATCTGCGATTCCCATTTATCTTTCAGAGAAACATAGATTCGTTAATAATCTTTATGAGAGTTAATTGAAGGAGTGGACGCGTTAAAAAAGATCATACGCGATAATTTATTTACTTCAATCTTGAGGGGGGTTTATTGATAAATAAGGCTAGAACGAACTCCAGATTTCTTACATAAGGCTATCACCAGGGCCATCCAACTCTCACAACGTCACCTCTATTTTGTGCGCACAATTGCCATCATTCAATCATCAACCACACCATCAAATTGTCGATTCGCATCTTTAAATTCTGTCGCTAAATTCCTCTGCTATTGTTCCATTTATGGGCTATAGTAAATCCAAGGTTTTCGCGCCTCAAGAGCGTGCTCGCGCGAACCTGGACAGCCCTTACAATCATCATGCCCGACATCGATCCAGCGGCCTTGAGTCGTTCTAGTGTGACGAACAAGAGTCCAACTCCTGTTTTACCTACAAAATCACTTACTGCGACAACTCCAGTTCAGAAATCTGCAAAAATCAATCATGTTCCACCGCGCATCGACCTTGAACCGTTGTATACAGCTGTCAAGTCTGCCATTGGCGAGAACTGGGGGACATACCAAGAATCAATTGGCTTATTTATTTTGGGTATGTAATGTCATTGTTTCGTCAAAGGGGCGATGATTACGCGTGTTCAAATTTATGTTAATTCTTTGTTTCCCAGGGCGAATGAACCAAATTGAATTTTCCTTCCGAGTTGACCATTTTATTGTAACAAATACTGGTGAGATCGAACATCTCCACAACCAACTCATATCTGCCATCTATGCGAACACAACTCGTGAAATGCCTGATCAGGGCGTGGCGAGCTGGGTCAGTGCAAATGATAAACCGACAACAGGGGCTGGGAGCAAGCCAGTTAGTGGGGATGCGGCGGAACAAAGACTCAAGACAGAGGTTATGCAATTGCCGAGTCGTGATAGAAGAAGATTGAAGGATCTATCTCAAAATGATGTGAGATTTTTTGACATGTTGCGCCTGCGAATCGATAGTGGACTCGTGCTAAATTGCCTTGTAGTTCGACCCATTTGATGCGTTTGCGACAATGCTTACAGAGCATCGCCGGCCGAAGCCTGCAAGACAGCCAGATTCTGTACCTGCTAATGCTGGGGGTCTGAACAAAACGAGTGAGTCAAAAATAGCTACCAGTCCTAGAAGGTTTAGTAGTACTTACATGCGTGCAAGATTGGGATTTGGAAATTCGGAAGAGATATACTTTACCTTTAGCCTCGGAATCGGGAGAATTTCCCGACATGACAACGATCGAGTCGCGTATGCTTCCCATATGCTATGAAACAGGCTTAGTCAATGGGCATGTTCAAGATGCAGCTCAGTTTATGTCTGTGGCGACCGAAACATTTATTAAGGAGGTCCTATCATCGATATTCAGCAAGACGAGAATCAACGGGCCTGGCTCTACAGGTAGTGCGGGAACGGGTGGGGGTTCCTCTTGGGTTCAAACACACAAATATCGCAGACAATTAGAAAAGGAGGAAGAGTCCTGGATGCGCAACGAAGTCCTTCGAGACAAAAATGGCTTGTTACCCGCAGAAGCTCGCGCAGCAAGTGAACGAGGGCCCCTCGGTATGGCCGATGTACGAACCGCGCTTGAGATTGCAGACTGTGGTTTAGGACAAATGCCAGTCGTTGTCCAGCAAATAATGTTCGGATACCAAGAAGGCGAACTAGAAAACTGGAACGAGTTTTCTCGACTTGGGCCCGAAGGAACAATCATTACTGAGGTTGATGATGATGGTGACGTTGAGATGGGTGGTCTCGAAGTCAATGGTTTGAGTAATGGTGTCAATGGACACGTAATCGACGAACCAATGAGTGATTTCGAAGACTGGGGCTGGGAAGGGGCCGAATACCAAGACCGAGCTGCCTTGGATATGGTGCTAGATTCTTGTCTAGCAATTGGAGCTTGAGGCACGAATGAAACTTACATCGTGGTATGGGGTCTTATATCTGGGTCTTTAAAGGTGTTATTAGCCCATCTGGCAGTCCTGGTTTAGCATTGGCGCAACGGATATTGGGTGTATCTATGTACCGAGTATTGTATAAAGATGTCATAAAAGGGAGGGACCAGGTTTTGGGTATGGTTGGGTAGGGGATTCTGTACAGGATGATACCCATGAATTCGCCAGGTTAGGCCATTTATTATTAGCATTCCAAGGAAGAGGTAGATGAGCGAAATGCAAGAGTGCATACTATAGAACCCCACATCAAGATATCTTGATCGATTGTACACGAGTAGTCTCGCGCTCAGTATTATTAAAACGAGAACTGGCGCCGAATTTTGACCTATGTCAATAGCGGCACTGAAGCTTCACTATTCTTTCTTTCAACATCGGAATCTCAGAATCTTTATCATCCAATGCTAGACCTCCACATTCACTCATGCTGCACAGCGTATCAGACACTATCATAGAGCTTAACGTTCTTTATAATTGTTATATTTTCAATTTGAATATGAATTTTGAAACTATTCAGATGGATTCCCTATCGTTTTTAAAAGGGTAATCTGTGCATTAGGTTTTGAGCTAGAATTTGGAATGCATTCACATTCTCTAAATCATAAACTCTGAACTCCGAATTCTGTATCTATCTGAATCCAATGTAACCAAGATAATCTAGGTAGCCCAATGCGACTGCAACCCGCCCTTATTCGAATCTCAAACTCGAGGGACTGATCCATCGCGATAGTGAAAGTCGAAACCATTCTGATTTTGAAGCTATTCAGACTTTTTCTAGGAGTTTCGAAGGGGGTTAATCTATATACTAAATTCCGAATACCGAATACTGAATTCCCTTACTAGTTTATTTAGAATTTGATATTCGTAGCCGTATGTTCGCTTAATATATGTTATTTTTAAGATTTAATTAGAACTAATAGCTTTCCCGATAGAATTTTATTCGGAAGGTATTTAAGAATACTGCTTTAGTAATCTAATACTCAGTATCTTAAGAATGTCTTGAGAGCAGGGATAGGGAGGGCGACTATAACCAGATCAGAGATCTTGAGCCTTCGTTTATACATTTTATAGATATTTGTTAGATGTATAGTAATAAAAATTGCTACTAATTCTCATCTTAAGTGTGCCATCCATCCCTATCCTATCATATGTCCAACACCTATCTCATCGTAGCATCAGCTTTATACCAATATAATCCTCTCCAATTCCATTATCCTCTGTACCCAGTATTCACTCTATGCCTATACTACCTAACTAATTTTCATATGATTTGTTGAGAGCACATTCAGCATTGAGTAGCAGTGAGTATGAACACATCCACGATCACTTCCATCAGGCGACAAGCCACCAAACATCATCAATAGACATCCCTCTCTCTATCAGATTCACAACCGCACACTCTTCAGATTCACTTTCCACATTCACTTTTCACTGTCAACCCCATTCTTCCATCCCATATATGTACCTCGGCTCAATCTCATGTAAACAAAAAAAGTAAACAAACTTTCTCCCAAAACCTTCCCAAATCACAAAATTTTCACTCCCCCAATTATCTTCCAAACTCCCCGAAATTTTGATAGCACCATGCACAGAATATCCAGATTCCATTCCAGACTTCAAATTTCGAGTTTGAGGCATTTTTGGAAAATCTGGAGAGCACAACAGACGTGCAACAAAACTCGGAGGGAGGAAAAATAGTTCTTCCGACTGCTAAAAGTTGGGATGGGAGTGAAGTTAGGTGTTTGACTCGAGATTGGAGATTGTGTAGGAATTAGTTTGAAGTTGAGGGGATGAGAGAAATTTCGGAACACTCTAGTGATATAATTGTTCCAGTGCAGCTTCACTGATCAGAGAAGAAGATTGCTGGTGGCAAGCAAGCATCAAAGTGGGATGAAGCCAAGCTCTCATAACTTGGTGATGTCGAACAGCGACTGCTGAAGTGTATTGATGAACATGCAAGCTTATATCCCGTATAGGAAAGAAGAATATCTCAACATAACTCCCACTCCTAACTTTAGGACATCGTGGCATCTTCATCTTCGTCACCACCCCGACCATATCTCCAATTCGTCTTGCTACATGAGCTGTCACGTTGTTTGGAAGTTGGACTCGGAACTTGTACCATAGTAAACGAGAATATTAATATTGTATCGTAAGTCCATCAATTAGGCAGGCACCTATCTACCTAATGGCACGGATCTAATTCTTTTTCTCTGCCCCGTTGGTAAGCTAGTTTTGAATGTGGAATAAACATATATATTTACTATATTTAATCACCTCGTACAACAATTCACTTCTAATCCGAATTCCCCAGATCTTTCGCTAATATCGGAGCATACACTCCGCATTCGCTCGCTACTCTTTCCCCCCTTTTATATCAAAATACACTGCCGGTACTTTACTTCACAATCACGCAAACATATATCATAAAATAAATCAATTACTTATTCTTTTATCATTATAACATTTTCCCAGTCCCCTCTACCTCGGCAAATAGTGCATATAATTTAGTTCCCTCCAAAATCCCAGTAGTTCGGTTAGTGGCGTTCAGGCCTTTTTTACCCACTATTATATATACACAGCCCACATATCAAAAATGCACTACACACTATGCGCTAGTATATAAGAAAACCATGCACACGGCACGAGCTTGTCAATTCAACTACATATTATAGTAAATACAAGGACCAGGTACATAGATCCACAGCACCGAAGCTTAACAAGCGCAGATTCTTTACATACCAGCCTAGCACTGAGCAAAAATCATAACAGACGTTACTACGAAAAAAGACAGTGCGGAAGGAAAGGAAGCAAAGTCCCGACGCTAAAACGAAAGTTGCTAATGAAGAGCTACTAGGACCTAGATCCGATCCGGATTTGATTATCTATCCGCACGGTGCTTCGAATGTTGATGGAAGAAAATAAGTGGAGTGGGAACCTCGGTCTTTCTCCAGATTCTTTTCCTTGATTGAGGAATTCGCTAGCTGTGTCTTTGATGATTGTGGGCTTTTTGGAGGCTATGTGTATACCGGTACATTAGCAAGCGTATGTAATATGTATACAGACAGAGTAGGCGAATGTCGTCACGGGGCAGTGCAAGTGCAAGTGCAGTGTGCATCACAGAATCCCCACGTGGTGTGGCGGTGGGGAATATGGGGCGATGAGGAAATGAGGCAATGAGGCAATGACAAGTAGAAAGAAGCACGCTTGATAATGCAAACTTCCCAATTAGAACTTAGCGGCCACTCCGAAAGCTTTCTAATGCCAAAACAGCCATCTACCGGTTAATAGTCTCTTTGTGCCTGCAGGTGCCGCATGCTGGCAGAATTGTGGACTTGCAGCGTAAATGTTTTGATCCATGGTAGGTGCACATGCTCAGCCTGGAACTTCCCATGCTCTCAGACTGCTCTGCAACAAACGGTTCGGATCTTTATCGATTTGTGCATTAGTCTTGTTCTTTGTTGACGAGTTTTTGAAGTTGGAAGGGGATTGCCGATTGAGGTGGGAGCTTGGGTACGAGGATATGGCCCTGAACCTTGCCTTGCGTGTTAGCATGATCTGTTGATGGATTGAAAAGGGCTTGGACTCGAATTACTGCACCTGGTTGTAATAAAGTGATTGATCTGGTGATTTCCCGAGCGATGTTCAATGTTTTTTGATCGTAATTCCCGGTACATTCCAGCACATTCTCAATAGTTTGTCCGGTTGTATGGTAATTTAAGCGGAGGGAGGAATACTCCGCATCTTCCACTCCAGATTTTCTTAGTTTCCTCGTCAGAAGTTGCCTTGCATGTCCAAGTGGAAAGTTTTCAGGGAAGCTGACCGCGGAGATGAAATTATGTGACGATTAGTGGGTGGCATGATTGGCATCATCGACTAGTCATCGATATGTCAAGTGTCGATGCGTAACCATTTACTCGGTTGAGGGATAATATGTATTGGAAATTTGGTTCGTAGTCTCGACTTTTGAGAATTCGTCGAGAATCTGTGAATTTGTCCTAACGCGAATTCTAACCTTGAACCTAGGGTACACTTACCTATCAACAATAACAAACATAGGATAACTGAGCACATAGAACTGAGCACAGAGAACTTGGCATGGAGCTTCCCTCCTTCATCTCCAACTTACCATTTTAACCGAATTTAAACCCATTCTCCCCCTTTACTCCCAAAAACTACTGGCAAGCTCCCAAGTTCCCAAGCCTACCAAGCACAAGCAAACTTTTGTTGCACTTCTCACCCCAAATCTATTCTTGGTTCCGTTACAGAACTCATCCTGCATAATGTCGGCAATGTATTCCGTGATTATCCATAGCATGTAATTCAAGCAATTATATACGCTGCCGTACCTACCATCAAAGACCCGCGTCAGCTCCATTTCATCGTGACCAGGCATTCTAGCGAAGGATTTCCTCCATTCCAACATGATTCCGGCTAAATTCAGAGGAACGGAAGTCAATTCATCAAGTGATGAAACCAGGCGCACGCCTCCTCACGAAATCTAGCTTCGGAATCCAAATTTACACTTCCGCACGCTGGCAACACAGTCGGGTAAGGAAAGTTGGAGCCTTGAGAATAAGATTGAGAATAAGATGGTTCTGGATGTCGGATAAACGTTTCGATTCCTTCCATGACATACACATTGATTGACTGCCTACTCATTTGCTCCGTGGAAGTAGCACGTTACGCCCAAAATCACTCTAAAGCGCCATGCACACTTCACCGTTATCAGCCCATGCCACCACTGTCAGGTGTTCCGGAAGGCTTTCCACCGCCCCGCTCTGCTAATATACACGGTGCGGCTGACTTTTGGCGCTACTCATTTTGAGAATGAGTTGGAAATTTGAGACCGGTATTTTCCTTTGCATGCATGACCCGTCATCAGGAATGTGTTACTTATACTTAATGCTGGCAAAGTATCATAGGTAGGATTTCAGAATTTTATAAGACGG